CTGGCCCGTACCCCAGTTCTGTATGCATAAATAAATAAATATTTAAAAAAAAAAAAGAAAGAAAGAACAGAGCATTTATTAGGCACCTACTGGGCATTGTTTCCTGTGAAAATCACCATTTCATGTCTACATAAGAAAAAAAAGGCCCTCATCATTTAATGTTTCCAATAGTCAGGAATTGTTACTGCCCTCCCCCCAACTATAAATATAAGGCTTCAAGGGGGCACTTGCTTAAGCGCTGGAGACCTTGAAGAGGAGAGCTGGGGGTTGACAGTAAAGTGTGTATTCTTGGACTCCTGCCCCATGGCCTCTTGGTTACCCTCTAGTTTCCTTAAGTAACAGTTCAAGACCACACAGGAAGAGAGGCAAAGCTGTGGGTACTGACCCAGCATGCCTGAATCCAGAGTCCATGGATTCAGACCTTAATAACTAACCTGCCCAAAAAGGTAACCATCAGAGAAGAGTCAGGCAAACTCCAAAAAGAAAAAAAAAAAAAAAAGTAGACTGAAGAGAGCAGATCTATTTTACCAGACATTAAAACATATGACAAAGCTACAGAAATGAAAATGGCACGGACATTGGCTTAGGAAGCCATGAACAGATCAAAGGGGTGCAGTGAAGAACCGAGGAACAAACTCAAACATATAAGAAAGTGTAGTGAATGATAAAAGCAGGTCAGAATAGGTGGAAAAACCCAGCCAAGTGTTTGGGTGCCATTGGCTCATGAGTAAGGTTGGGTTCCTATCCTGCCTTTTATTCTCCAAAATTAATCCCAAATGAATCAGATGTTTAAATGTTAAAATAATAAAAAAAAAAAAAAAGAAAGACTCAAAAGCTCTAGAAAGTCTTTGTAATTTACAAAATGAGGTGATATTGGTGGGGAGCAAGATGTCTAAATCTGATGTTAGTGGCAGAAACCCTAGAGAAAAGAAAAAGCATTAATGACAAAAATATTTTTAAAGATGCCTTATGACAAATTAAGGGGAATGTTTGCAACAAAATATCATATCCATAAATACAGAGGGAATTCTTAATAAGGAAAATACCTAACATATTTCAAGAGAAAAATTGGCCAAAAAAGGCACTTTATAAGGAAAGAAACCCAAAGGTCCATCAGTATCTGAAAAAATTTGCAGTCTCACCAGCAGAGCTGGGATTAGGGTAAGGTGTGTTTGTGTATGTGTGTGTGTAGATGCATGCATTTGCAGATTTTTTTAAAAAGATTTATTTATTTGTGCATACAGAGCTGGGGTACAGGCCTGAAGTGCAGGGGTGGTGAGAGGATTCACCAGAGACAGAGTGGGGAGCAGAACAGGCAGATGACAAAGTACACTGCTGAGGGGAGCAGAGGGCAGGTCAGGAGAGGTCTGCCCCGCCATGTGGGTCAGCACCGGGGCAGGTGGGAGTTGAACTAATGCTGAAGTGGCTTTAGCTTCTTAGTGCTGTGCTTTAACCCGCTTGTGCCACCCCAGGGAGGGCCCACATTTGCAAATTTTAAGAAGGCTCTCTTAGGAAGGTGCAAGTGCCTGAGGGTGGACATCCCCCCTTAAACTTGTCAGTTGATGGAGTCTTTCTGGCAGGCCATCTGTAGTGTGGATCGACATTTAAAATGTGTGAACTCTCTGGCACAGTGATTCCATTTTTAGGAAGTGGCCTCCAGGGAATAACTAGACACATGGGCCAAGAAAACTGGCTAGATATTTGCTTGTCATAGCAAAAAGTGGAAGGGACAGCATAACACCTGGGCACAAGGCATCCTATGTGCCAGCCACAGCTGTGCAGGCAGCAGTACTCCTGTGGAGCACATGGACAAGTGAACAGGAGACCAGCCTGTGTCTGTCACCTAGATGCGTTTCTGCTAACGGTGGGCACATTCACTCAGATATCAATGGCCCCTGTGCCTGGAGGTGGGATTGGCTACGGGTGACTGGTGCTTTCTCCTTTACACCTCCTGTGCTGTGTGTAATCACAGAGGGTATGCTTATGTTAGTACTTGGAAGAGTAACGATAAGGCAGATTTCATTAGAGACAACATATGAGGAGTTAACTGTTATTCTATAACAGGGGATCCCCGCCCCTCCCCCCCAACCTCGTTCTGCTTCCTTCAGAGAATGGTCAGGTAAGTGACCCTGGTGCCCTGGCCTGAGCATCCTTCACAGCGGCTAAGAGGCCATGTTGTTTATCAACCAGTCAGCACATCAAAAGGGTCTTTAACCCCTATACCACCAGCCAAATAAACAGAATTTACTTCCAAAGGATCTTCAGGGCCTTTTAACACACTGATCAGTGAGATTTGGATTTCAGAGTGGTTTCTAAAGGGCCTTGTTTTCACCAGACCAGGCTGAGCCCATTACTCCTATGGGACTTAAAATACATGCCGGCTTCTCCTTGGACCTCAGTTTATCCAACTGTAAAATGGGCTCATTCAACCAGATCCGTTTTTATTTATTTATTTTTTTTATTTAAGTTCACGCCCTCCCCCCACTCCCCCCCTCCCAGGGAATACCTTCTACTTATTCAAATAGCCAAAAATCCTGTAGGACTGTTGTCTCTTCTAGCATGTACCACGAAAACCAAAAGTGTCTCCCCATCCCATCTCCCCAAATTAAATAATAATACCAAACATGCTTCCTGCACACAGCACAGGACCTGCAGGAGACACAGCACCTCCAGTATTGCTGAGCCTGGCATCCCTGATGCCCTTCTCACCTCTCTGGTAAGCCCTGTAGTATGGTGGCTAAGCATTTCATCTCTGGCCATGACGAGGGGTTCTGGGTAAAATACAGGGTGTCCTCTGTCACCATCCATTGGTTTTGATCTGTCTTAAATAGTTATATTTACTCTATGTGGCAACCCTAGCTGGGATTCACAGTTGGGCTTCTGTGTGTAGACAGTTACTGTGAGCAAATTACTTCATTTTTCTTTCTCCCTCTCTTGTTTCCTCCCTCCCTCCCTTCCTCCCTCCTTCCCTTCCTTCCTTTCTTCCTCTCCCCTTTCCCCTCTTCTTCTCTCTATTTCTAGTTATGTCAAGAACATTAATCTTACTTTTACGTGCAGCTTGATGAAAAGTTCTCACATGTTTGCCTTCCCATGATCTCCACACAGATTAACAGGTGTGTTTCCAGCATCTCAGAAAGTCTGGTCCTCTGGCTTCCCAATCAGTGAATCCCCAAAGGTATCATCATTCAGAAGTCCTTTGGTCAGCAGTGAACCACATATATGATGGAGGACCCAATAGACTGTACCATCCAGCCTAGGTGTGTAGTGACCTGTCCCATCTGGGTTTTTAGTTATACTCTATTATAGTGATGCAACAGTGAAGTCATTGCCTAATGTCGCATTTCTAGAAAGTATCCACATAATTAAGTGACAGATGGCTGTCATCACATCCTACTTTCTCTGCCATGGTCAATTAGTTTTGTCTGTTCTTGAATTTCATATAAATTAAAGCCTACAGTATGGACCCTTTCCTTTATGACTTCTTTGGCTCAATATCATGACTGTGGAATTCATCCCGGTTGTTATGTATAGCAATATTTGTCCTTTTCACTGCTGTATAATATTCCACGGTAGAATAGAATCTTATGACAATCCTACAACTTGTTTGTACATTCTATAGTTAGATTATTTGTTGATTGAGGATATAAATGTTCTTGTATAAACCTTTGCATTGATATGTGTTTTTATTTCTCTTGGGTATGTATATAAGGCTAAGGTTCCTGGGTTTTAGGCTAGGTATATATTCAACATTAGTGGGACACTAACATCAAGTTTTTGAATTTCAGTGATAAAGTGAGCACCTACCCAATAGCAGTATCTACCTTATAGCACAGATGTAAGATTAAAGAAGATAACCCAGGTGAAGTATTTAGAACTGGCACTCAGCATATTTGTGATCACAAAACACAAATCATTGACAGGTTGGGGTCAGGGGTGCATGAAAGTATCTGATTAACTTTTGTTAACATTTAAGTATTCCCATGAAGGACTAGAGGTGCAAGAAATTTTCCAAAGTGACATGAAAATGATACGTAACTATTATTAAAAGAAAAAAAGTCAAACAAAATGGAAGCATGTACAGAGCACAAGGAGTTTACCCTATCTAGTTTTTATAGCTAAAACACTATGCACTTAGTGGACTGCATTTATTTTATTACATCTTCATTATTTACTTGATGCTGCTAAGGGTGGGGAAGGTGGAGGCCAGACCTTAAAGTTGATGTACGGAATGTCTTACCCTGGCTAGTTGGTCCCACTCTCTGGACCTCAGTCTCCCCATCCAAAGCAAGGCCCTAGGCTCTAATAATCACAGTTTCAGGTCTACCCCTGGCAGTGGAAGGACCTGGAGTCCTGCCGCTGGTGTCTGGGATACTAGAGCAAAGGACCACGCATCCGCGTAGCCCAAACAGGCGCCGCCTTGAGTCTGTCCTTGGCCTTGTTCACCCAGCGTCCCAGAATGGCACTGGACTGGCTGTTTGGCCCTGAAGCCCCTGCTCTGTACCTCTGGCTTCTCCTCAGGCACTGCCAGGCTGGCCCCCCCCACCCTCCAGGCCAGGCGCGCAGCAGCCCAGGGAACATCCCTCCCCGCCCCCAGGATGGCAGCCAGAAGAGGGAAGAAAGAGGATTGTCTCCAGCTGGCCCTGGAGACAGCTCTCCTTGTGCCCATCAGCCCTCCCAGTGCCCCGGCCCTCCCTCCTTCCCTCGTTCTCCTGAGGCTTGACCACGGGGGCTTGGGATCCGCCAGAAAAGTCAGGCAACTTTTCAGGGACCAGAGCAAGGGGAGGGGAGGTCTGGAAACTTGGCTGGGGTCCAGCTCCTGGGAGCAGCTCCCTGCCCAGCCCCACCTCTCACTGTGCCCTGTCCATAACTCCGGACTTTGACCCTGCGTTCCAGCCCCGGCTGGTGGGCAGAGGGCTGAGGACAGGTCCTCAGAATCAGAAGCCTACCCTCAGAGCTAGGACCTGTGCGCACTGTAGCTGCCGTTTGCCTGTGAAGTTTGGCACTTCAGGGCCAGGTGAGTGGCACATGCCCCTTGGAGCTGGGTTGGAGGTGGGGCAACAGAACGCAATGTCTCTCTGAGTGTCAGCGGAGAGGTTTCCACACTAGAGCCGGAGGCAGGTGACCATTGGGAGGCAACCCTGTGAGTCAGCACCTTCACCTCTCCAAGCCCCTATTTTCTCATCCAGAAGATGGGGGCCCTAGCTCACCTCTTGCAGGGTAAGTTTGGGGGTTGAAAGAGGTGATGAATGTCAAGTACTTAGCACAGAACTGGGCTCATGGCAAGTAATCAATAGTGGTAGATGTTATTGTAGGGGGGGTTGTGCAGGGAGCGAGTAGCTGAGTTGTCAGGCATTTATAGAATCTGCTCCATTTTAAACACAAACTCTGAGAATATCAATGTCATAAGAAGCAGCCATATGGTGTAACCTGGAGGCTGATTATGCTTATCAGAACTCTATCCCCTGGTGGATTTTTTTTTTAGAACAAGATGCCCATTCCTTGTGCCTGTAGCCATCAAAGACATATGCTGTTGCAAATACCTTCCTAGGAACAAGAGAGGGTATAAGCAAATAAACGCTAACCTGAGAGGCAGACAGAAAGTCAGGTGCAACTTATCACAGGCTGCAGAGTTTCACCAGGCAATGGAGAAAGCTCAGATAGAAACTGGGCCAGCTACAAGGTCACCCCACACTGGCTTTAGGGAGAGTGACTTGCCCTCCATGAGCCTCAGTCTCATGTCGGTAGAACCTGGAGAGCAGCTGAAAGGATTAAATGGGAGGCTTCTGCACACCTCTACATGTGTCCCACAAGAGGCAGACAATCACAACGCGCGTGCACACACACACACACGCGCGCGCACACGCCTCCTGAGGTAATAACCTCAGCCATCTGCATGTCCCCGGGCGCACTGTCCCAGCAGGCTTCGTTGAGGGAATGGCATGAAATACAGGTGAACAACGCTACTGAAGACATCAATGATCGCAGGAACATGCTGGTCCCCTAACTCTACAGCCCCGTGAGCCCCGTGAAGTTCATCACTCACATGCGTGAATGATTTTACGCAAGGCTGCATCTGTCAGTCCCTGGGGTCTGCTCCTGCTCCTGAGAAGGGCCTCAGACATTTATATTGTCTCCTTCTCTCTTGGTCTCTCTCTTACACACACGTGCACACACACAGTTGCTACTATCAGCATTAAATTTGATTTGCATATATGTTAAGACAGTTGACTTGGCATGTGGCTTTGCATTTCAGTTACTCCCACCAACACACTAAAAATTCCAACCAAAGTTAGATTTGACTTTTTTTCAAATCACATGGGTCTGTGAAACACTCACTGTTTCTTTTCACCTGCTGGACCTGCTGCTTGTCAAATTGTGTCAGCAGCCAGACGAGCAGGACATTTTGGCTCATAAACTTGCAAGTCAGGCTAGTCAAGACTGCTGCTCACCAGTGGGTTCTGGGCCTCGGTGGCTTCATCTGTCAAATGGGCATAACGATAGCTCCAGGGGCTACTAGATTAAAGTAAACACCACAGGGAAAGTTCTAGCACTAATGGCTGATGCAAGCCAGTGGTTGAAAAACTAGCAACGGCTACCGTAGTCTTGTTATTGCCATATTTACCAGTTTTGTTCCTGGACTCTTCCATTCACAGAAGCTTTTAAACCCCAAGACTTCAGAAAGTAAACCCCAGGACTTTGAATGAACAACTCTGCTTCCCTGGACCTTAGTTCCCTGTCTGCCTGAGCCATCTGGCTTTAGTCCCTCTCTTTCATGGCCAGCGGGAGCCTGCAGGTGCCCCTGGTCTCTCCTTGAGCTCCCGGGGGCGTCTCCTGGGTCTCCCTGCCTCTGCTCCCAGCCAGAGGCTTCACCAGGCCCCAGCCTTGCCTGCAAAGATGGCTGCTGCTCAAGCTCTTCCTCTCTGCCCAGAAACCCTGAAGGGCTTTCGAGCATGCACCTTTTCTCGCTCATATACGTTGCTATTATATAAGAAACTCTTATTCCTCCACCCTTCACTGGTTTTCTAGGTAACATGAAAATGGAAAAAAAGTGGGTCCTGGTAAAATCAGAGCTGAGCCCACAGCCCCTGCTCTGCCTCATGCTCTGACCTCAGATCATTTCCCTCGCTCTGTTCCAGCCTCAGCTTCTTCGTCTGTAACTTGGGGACAGTGACAGCCATTGCGGTCCTTGATGAGCTCCTGAGCTCTTTCTGGAATTTTCTTTTTGGACCCTTTAGAGAACTCTCCTCAGTCAGCCTGTCACTCATTCATTCAGTGTCTGCGACGTGCCAGACACTATTTTAGGCTCCAGGTAGGAGAGCGATAGACAAACTCCAGCCCTTCTGGAGCTGATCTCCTGGTAGGGAGACAATATTTAGGGAGCTTTGCTAGCCCTTAAAAGTTTATAGAAGAGGGAACCGAACTCAATTAGGACAACCAATTCACCCCAGCTTACCCAGCACTATCACCGTTTTAGCACTCAAAGTCCACATTCTGGGCACCTACTCCATCCTGGGTAAGCTGGGGCGGCTGGTCATGCTTGTTTGGCCAAGTTGAGAAACCTGCCCAGGGTCACAGCTGGTGCGTGCAGGGTCAGGCTATGAACCTGCTGTCTGCCTGACCCCAGTCCGCTGGCACCTGCCACCTACCTCTGTGCCACACTGCCTCCTGGTTTCATTAGAAACCAAGTCCTGCCTTCTTATTGTTAATGTCCAAAAGTGGTCAGACTCTAGTGATTATGTAGGGACAGGTGGAAAGCCCAGAGAGGGGAAGTAGCTTGGCCAAGGTCACACAGCAAGCCAGGAGTGAAGCCAGATCGACTCTCCCTTCTTCCTCTCTCCGTCTCTACCTCCCGCTGCTGTGTGGGGACACAAGGTGGCTCCTGTGTATTGAGCCTGCTCTGTGCCGAGCACTGTCGTAGGCATTGTCACTTAGTCTTGGGGTGGGGGATACCCCTATTTTACAGATGAAGAGTTGTCTTTCCTGATGGGGAGGGGACAGGGGTCCCAGAGAGAATCTGCCCCTCACCCTCCAGCTGGGCAGCCACGAAGCTCGGGCTCATAGCTGGATGGAGGGTCACCCAGAGGAGCGACGCCTTTCCCTTGTTTGCTTCTATCTCCAACTTGGCTGCCGAAAGCCCAATGGAGTCCAGTTCTTGTGGGCTGGAGCCATTTCCCCGGCTTCACAAAACTAGGCCATATTGAGAATGTCCTCTGTTCAGGGCCATGGGCCTGAGTTGCCAGGAGCCGAGGTTGGAGGGAGAAGGGCTGTGAGTCCAGAGGAGGGAAGGTTGAATTTGGCCCTTGTGGGCACAAAGTGTCCCCTTGTTCTGCCTCAGCAGGAACCAGCATAATATTTCCCTGCTGTGTGGGGCCCAAGCAATTTCGAGGTCAAAAGCTTCTGGGCCTCTAAACTCTGATGATCCGGACACCCGGCAGGTGTTAGTTGAGGTGTTTCCCTAAAGACCTGAGTCCTGAGGGCAGATATTGCAAGCAACATGCTCACAGCTGTGTCCACTGGCTGCCAGTCTGGCACACGGTAGCTGGGTGATAAGTGTGTGTGAATTTACCTTAATTGGAAATAAATTCTATTTACTGGCTGTGTGAGCTCAGCTCAGTTCCTTCACCTTTCTGAGCCTCAGTTTCCTCACCTGTAAAATGGGGCCAAATGCCATAAGACCATTGAGGGACTTAGCTGAAATGATGCATGAGAAACATAGAACACTGGGACTGGCACACGCTTGGTGCCCCACAAATGTCAGCAAACCGCTCCCACCGTGCAGACCCTGTGCCAGCCTCCTTCCTCTTCCTCTTCTCTTGTGGAATTCCCCTCTACTGAGTTACGGATTGTTTTGCTCATCTTCCAGAAGCTGAGTCTCAGGAAGCCTCTTGGCCAAGCCGGGCTCTTGGCTCTGCCCTTTTGTCTTCCCAGCCTGGGATAGGTGTCCAGGGAAGCTGCATCACTCAGCATCTATGAGACCTTGGGCAGGTGGCTTTGCTTCCTCAGACCATAGTGTTCCCCGTGGTGAGGGTTATCCACAGGCAGGTAGAGAAAGGGCCGTGCGGCAGGGGGCACTTTCCCAGCCTCAGTGGATGATGGCAAAGATGACCAAGGTGAAAGTGGTGATGACGGAGACGCTGGTGATGATGGCATGCTTCCATCCTCCCCTCCTGCAGGCTGGCACGATGCGCGTGGTGGTGATTGGAGGAGGGGTTATTGGACTGTCCACCGCCCTCTGCATCCATGATCACTTCCACTCAGTCCTGCAGCCGCTGGAGGTGAAGGTCTACGCGGACCGCTTTACCCCGCTCACCACCACCGACGTGGCTGCCGGCCTATGGCAGCCCTATCTCTCCAACCCCAGCAACCCACAGGAGGTGTGAGTAGCGGGATCCAGAGGCTGGCTCGGGAGTCAAGTCTGCAGAGGGCTTCCCCACTCACCAAGCACAGTTCTGACCGGGCGTGACGTGAAGAAAATGCTAATACCTAATAAGCCCCTACTACTTGCCAGGCAAGACAGACTGTCTCCCTTCCTCCCCTAAACTGGGCGATGGTCAAGGCCATAAGCTGGGGTGAAAACTTCCACTAGGTGGATTGAAGCTCAGGTTTACAAAAGAAGTTGCAAATTTCTTCCGTTAGTCTAGAAACTGCCAATTATTTCAGCAGAAGCTACAAATGAAAAATGGCTCAGGCAGAAGTTGCGTTCTCACGCCCATAAATTGAAAAACCAATGTTTCTGAGAAGTGGCTGCCGATTCAGGGGCCTGGGCTCCCTCTTCCTCAGGCTCTACCACCCTTCAGGCCTTCCGATTTCTTCACACCATATCCACTGAAAGATCTTGTAGGAGGAACACGTGGGCAGAATATTTAGGGTTTATTGGCTAGAACATAGTCACGTGCCTGCACTTCTGTGCAAGAGAGTCTGGGAAATGTGGTTTAGCAGTATGGCGGGTTAAGCGGGAAGCCTAATTCTAGTTAGGGGGTGGAGGGAGAGGGCAGGAAATGCCAGAGAGTGAGCTTACTTACACCATGTGGCTCATGGCCCCCAATGTTAGTCCCCAGAGTCAGTCAGGGCCTTCATTTAAATTTAACAAACTATGTGATCCCAAGCCAAAGTTGGCTTCAAATCACGGAGAGGGAGCACGCTCTGTTCCTCCTCTTATCCAACCTATTAATGGGACATGTTGGAAAGCTGGCAGTGTGGGGAGATCAGTAGGTACTTGGGGGAGCTACAGGAATGAACATGGATTTTCAACAAGCTGCTCACAGGCACTTGCAAGTCGACTCTCAGCTTCTTTCGCCAACTTGGGGTTACAGAAACGTGGGGTGACCAAGACTCTGGGGGATCCTTCCAGGCAATGGAACCAGCAGACCTTTGACTACCTCCTGGGCCACATCCATTCTCCCAAGGCTGATGACATGGGCCTGGCCCTGATTTCAGGCTACAACCTCTTCCGGGAAGCTGTTCCGGTGAGTGGGGCGTTCATCCCGTTGGGGACAGGAGCCGGGGCTGAGTCTGGGGGGTATTTTTGAGCCTCAGAGATGACAGGCTCCTGTACTCAAAACAGGTTTACTTAAGTCCTATTTGTGCGTTTAAAATCATTTTTGCTTCCATTTTGCTATTAAATTGGTCAAGACCAAGAATCCACTGATGAGCATTGGGAGCTAGGTCTTGGTAGTTGTGGGCAAAACTCAGTGGTGAGTACTTGGTGCTGAAGCCAAGAGGGTCTGGCGGTCCCAGGGCTTTTCATCAGGACAAACTGAAACACTCACACAGACACTTTGAAGTTCGAGGACTTGTAAGTATACGTAGTGAGTTCATTCTCCCTGTGCAGGAAGTGCTTTCATTCCGCTCCTTTCACAGATAAGAAAATAGAGGCCCAGAGAAATGGAGTAACTTGCTCAGGGTCACAGAGTTCTCAAATGGCAGAGCTGGGATTTGAACTCATGCCACTTAGCACATGGTGCCCAGTGTACTAAGAAAGGCACAGTTCAGGCTGTTTGGAGAGAGTGCTCTGGTTGAGTGTCCAGAACATGAAACCAGCCAGCTCTCCAAGGCCTACACATTTACCACCCTGCTGAGGTCATTGCCCATATTATCTCTGTACTTTCTGTGGACCAAGAGTGATTATTCATTTCAGGAGACAAGAAAGAAAACTGAGCCTCTGAGCATTCAAGGTGGCCTGGAGTGAGGTCAAAATCTCCATCCAGGTTGTCTGACCTTACACTCTGCTGCCTCCCATTCTCACCTGTGGGGGACCCTCACTGTTGACCCCACCCTCCCTCTATTTCTGACCTTCGCCACACTGACCATTAGGCTGGTATTCCTTTGGGTTCCACACTTACCTTTGCAATAATGGTTAAGATCATTGCCTCTGGACTCAAATCTCAGCACTATTTATTAGCTATATGACTTTTGACAAGTTACTTAACCTCTCTGAGGATTGAGGACCCTCAATGGGCCTGTATATAAAAACGGGCTAAGAACACTATCTGCCTTAATGAGTGGTTGTGAAGACTGAAAGGGGTGGCGTACGTAAGATGCTCGCAAGAGTGCCATACACAACCTAAACATGTGAGTTGGATATTATTGATATGATTGACTTTTACCCACGCCTATGTCCCGTTCACTCCTTCCCCTGTAGGACCCTTTCTGGAAGAACACAGTTCTGGGATTTCGAAAGATGACCCCCAGAGAGTTGGACATGTTTCCCGGTTATAGGTAAGGTTTTTATCGCTGACGAAAAGATGGAGGCCCCACAATTCAGACTAGTGCAGAAGGCAGCAGGGACAGAGGCACTAAATACCTTGTCCCAGCCAGACCCAGAGCCCCCAGCATTGTGGGCTCCAACTGTTCTCTTCCAGCTCCTTCAGAAAGGCCACCCACCCAGCGGAGACATGGGGGAGGGAGGAGGGAAATGTGGAATCACAGAGCTGGAGCCCGAGGCTCCATATCATTATTCTGTTTTGTAGATGAGGATACTGAGCTCCAGAGAGGTCAAATCACTCCCCCGGGGTCACATGTCAGTCCAGTTGTATCACCCCAAATCTCTCTATGTTTTCCTCTGCGACCCATTCTTCTCTGGTTCTCTCCTCAGCCCACCCCTGGACAAATGCACATCCAGTGTCCAGTGTCAGAGACGACCTTATCTGATCAAAAAATGTCTCCCTTGCATTAGGGGCAGCAAGGGAAATGGGTCTTCCTTGGCACTGCAATCAATGACCCTAGACCAACCCCTTGAAAGCCCAAACAGTAGGAGGCTGCTCCGAACTGTATGTGGTCCCCTTTAAATATAGCTCTGATTCTGATCCTTTATTTTGACATTTTGCCGGCTGTGACTCTAGCTATGGATGGTTCAACACAAGCCTGATTCTGGAGGGGAGGAGGTATCTGCAGTGGCTGACAGAGAGGTGAGATCTTTAGCTTCACTTTGAGGGAGGCCTGTCCCAGATACGGGTGATATCACTTTGAGGGAAGCCTGTCCCAGATATGGGTGGTAGCAGACAGTTGTTTATGGAGTTCACCTCTGTACTGACCAACCCCACCTGTGAATGAAAACCTTTTTTTTTTTTTTTAAAGATTTATTTATTTATTCATGCAGAACTGGGGTACAGGCCAGAGATGTGGAGGGTGAGAGGATTCACCAGGGACAGAGTGGGGAGCAGAACAGGCAGATCGACGAAGTACACTGCTGAGGGGAGCAGCGGACGGGTCAGGAGAGGTCTGCCACGCCATGTGGATCTCCTCCGGGGCAGGCGGGGATCGAACTCATGCAGAAGTGGCTTAAGCTTCTTAGCGCAGTGCTTTAACCCGCTGCACCACCAGGGAGGGCCGAATGAAAACCTTTTTAAAGTCTGGGATGAATAATGCCTTTTAGCAAATGGCCTGGAGTATGCTTTAAAATAGATTTCAGGATCCCACTCTGTATCTATGGAACTAGAACCTGTGGGCAGGGCTGAGAAATTTGTATTTTAAGGAGTTACCTGAGTGATTCTATCATGATCAATCAGGTTTGAGAAGTAGTTACTAATCCTAATCATGGGACTCTTATGATTTCTTTTCAGCCTCTTCTCATTAAGAGCACTCAGGTTTTCAATTATGAGGAAACCACATAGATAAAACATCCTGACATTATGGTCCAGTTTTATGGTTTACTCCTATTCTTTCAAAGTTTCTAAAGTAACAGGTATTTTTACTCTGGGACTTTTGGAAGGAAGGGTTGGGTGTCCCCAGCCCACCCTTTTGTCCTGCTTCCGAGAAAGGGGCATTTGGAATTGATCCCCAGCCCCACCTGCCTTCTCCCAAGCTGTATCTCTTGCCTTGTGATTCAGTGCAATATGGTCTAGTAGCAACTCAGAGGCCTGAGCCCATCATTGACTGACTTTCCGACCTCCGGCGAGACCCCGCTCCCATCTCTGTCTTCCCAGCAAGGGGCTTGGCCAGCTCAGGTTTCTCAAAGAACTTCCACGGAGGGACCAGCTCGTGAATGGATTTGACTACAATGTCATTTTCTCAAAGAGCATTTTGTGGGACTAGTATTCGTGGAGGTTCTTTGTGAGTTACCCCCAACCCCTTTGGGGGAGATGAGTCAGACATCTGAATACTGGTTGGTTGTTTTTTCCTTTGTGTGTTTGATGATCCCAGGTTAACTGAACGGGGCGTGAAACTCTTCCAGCGGAAGGTGGAGTCTTTCGAAGAGGTGAGCTTCAGGTTGGAAGGGGGTGTGGGAGGGAGAGCAAACAGGGGGTCTACTGCTTCCATTGCTGGAGAAGCTCCTTTTTCAGGCCCCCAGAGTTAGGGCTCAGGTGTGCTGCTTGGACGTTGGTGGAATCAGCAAAGGGGAAGTGGGTCTCGGTGGCCAGTAGCAGATAACCTCTAGCTGAACCTCAGTTTCCAGGGCAGAAAGTTCGCTGCCTTTCACGGCCTTTTGTGGTATCAGCTACACCCTCCCTTGAGTTTCAGACACTAGGTCACTTCCTGCCAACACCTGGATTCATGTTCCTGCAAAGCCAAGGCTCTCAGCTGACTCATTTCCAGAATAGCACTGCCATCCATAACAATGACGGCAACGGTTAGGTCACCAGGCATGAACTGTGTGCTGGGAACTTTGTTGTCTGACTTCACTAAATCGCTGCTCCTAGGCCGGTGCTTGGAGCCGAGAAGCACTGGGCACATACAGCCTCAGCCACCAGGACTGACTGATGGGTGCTTGAGAAGCACAGGGAAGTCTGGCACAGCCCTGGCTCCCAAGGGACGCACGTCCCAGTGTCGCCAACACCGCCCATGAGCAGTGTGTGGTCGGGGCGTCCTTGGGACCAGCTGGCCGGAGTTTGGGGGCCACAAGGCTACATGCCGAGCTCGTGAGTGTCCCACAGACACATGGAGGTTCCAGCATGTCTTCTGCAGATGGCTGGGAGAGTAGAAGGCAAGAAACCGATGTAAAAGGCGTGAGAAGGAGGGAGAATACTATCTCTGCTCCCTTTCTGATTTCTTCTGGAATGTTCTGAGAAGTTTCTCAACACTCCCACAGCTCTCCTTCCCACACTTTTATATCCAGAGTCACAGCTGGATCCTCACAGCAGTCTGTGATTGGGTATTACCCAGCTGATAACTAAGGAAACTTCCAGAAGCCTGAATCACAAGAAGGGGAAGGGACATTTTTGAGGCCCCACAGGGGGCAAATGGCAGAGGGAACATTTGGAGGCCCCTCAGAGGAGGGCCCCTCCCCCCTGCTCCACAGGGAGCAGAGAACAGTGGAGGTGTGCCCAGAAGCCTGGAGTTCTGGCTACCTGTCACCACTGAATGCCAGTAGAGACAGGAACTGAATCTTTCAAGTGCACTTTAATCACAAAGCCGGCAATCTGGAAGCTGGTGATCAACACCCCAAAGAAACCGCCTTTCCATTTCATTTCTAGCCGGTTTCTTCCAGTGAGTTGAACAAAGACAGTTCAGCACTGAGCAGCCTTCACTGCTGCCAGGACACAGTGATGTCCAGCCCCGGAGCTCCTAATCGCCCTCCTGGACACCTGGCCTATAGCTCGTCCCCCTGTGCTGAGGCTGGGCTGCAGATAGCATCCCCCCCGCCCCCACTCCTCCAGCCGAGTCCTTGGGCTGGAAATGAGCAGACAGGCCATGCACAATATGTGTGTGCAGATTTCCCACTGGCTTAGCGTCTCACCCGGGTTCTCACCCTCTCCCACTATCTGCCTGTCGGTTACCTTCAGGTCGCAAGAGGAGGCGTGGATGTGATTATCAACTGCACGGGGGTGTGGGCAGGAGCCCTGCAGCCAGACCCCCAGCTGCAGCCAGGCCGGGGGCAGGTCATCAAGGTGAGTGAGAAGAAGGGAGCGAGCGAGGCCTCACTCTTTTGTTGCTAGGGAGATGGGTGCTACCTGCTATTGCATCCCAAAGACAGAGAGAGTGTGGAGCCACCTGTTAAAGGAGCACCCAGAACTCCAGGGAATTGCCTGTTCATGGAGCAAAAGGACCAACTCAGCCCTCCATACCTTTCCTTGGGGGCTTCTTCTTAGTAGTAAAGCATGTGCAGCTCTCGCCTTACACATAGGCCCGCGTAATCGTACAAAAGACTAACATCGTTTGCTAAGTGACAGGCACAGGCCTGAGCCCACGGAGCACCCCACTGTAGTGCGTGATTTGTTCTTCCCCACCTCCCTTGGAGATGGGCTGGAACCACCCCATTATCCCACAGAGTGGCGAGCTGACAGTAGGGATTGGAAGGCAGAAACTTGGCTTCAGAGCCTGAGTGTGGAAGTCCCGCCTCTAAGTGTGCATGGGCGTGAAGCACACCTATGTGTGGGCTTACCTGCACACGCATGCCTACGTACATCTGTAGGTGAGCAATAGGTTCCACTTTGGGGCTGTTGTGTGTGCGCATTTCTATACCTCCTGGGTTCGTCTGTGGGCTGGCGGTGAGGCTGTGCAATGCTTCAAGGAGCAGGCGTGATGCTCAGGAAGAGCCAGGAGGGCTCTTCTTGCATGAGCAGATAGCCTGGTGCAGATAATGGGTCGAGGGAGGCTAAGGAGTTGGTCTTGCCACTGTTCCCTGGAGGGAATCAGGGCAGGGGACCTCGTGGATCTGGCTCTCCTGACAATTCTCCTCTCAATCGACAGGTGGATGCTCCGTGGATAAAGCACTTCATCCTCACCCATGACCCAGAGAGAGGCATCTACAGGTCCCCATACATCATCCCAGGGTTAGCATCTCACATCCACTCTATGCCCTGCCCAGGCCCTTTGTTTAGGCCCTTCAGGTTGTTTTCTTCCAGTAGTTTGAAGCATAGCGGAGCCATCAAATCCCTGGGCTCGACCTTGATTGGGCTCTATCCTGAACATGCTTTTGGGTGACACTAGTCGTGATGTTGTAGACAAAAGTAATGGCAGTGATGACAGCAATGCCAGAGGAGACGTGGATGGCAACAATGGCGATGGGGATGGCGACCGAGCTTGATGGTGATGATGATAACAATGGTAGAGGTGACAAGGCTGGAGAAGGGGGTCATGGTGTCATGGACCATTTTCTGGGTGGCAGGAGAGACAGTATTGTTATTGATGGGGAAGTCAAAGGTGATGGGGGTGGTGACTGGGATAAGAAAAATAGAGTGGTGATGTTGTGTTGATGAGATAAGTGTTGGTGGTGTGGCTGGGGCAGGGGGGAGTTGGTGCTGATGGAGTTGACACTATGATGATGATGTTAACAGTGTGGTTGAGATGACCGTCTCGAAGGCAGTGGCCATGGTATGACTTGCTGACTATCTGACTCACTGATGTGCGTGATACAGTAAAGATAACAGAATCATGACGATGCGAAGGACATGGGAAAGGCGGGGAAGGGGCTGATAGTAATGCTGTATTAACCACATCAAAGAAGGAAATAGTGGAGGTCACGCTGAGGATGGAGATGACCCTATTTTCCCCAGCTTTATTGAGATATAATTGACATGGACATTGTGTACATTTAAGATGCACAACATGGTGATTTGCTAGATGTATAGACTGTGAAATGATGGCCATGCGGTTAGTGAACACATCGCCTCACGTGATTCCAATGTTTTGCGTGTGGTGAGAACCACTAAGATCGACTCTCTCGGCCACTTTCAAGCATATAATCCAGTGTCTTAAACCCCAGCCACAGAGCTGTCCGTTAGGCGAGACGAGTGTTGCCAGAGATGGCAGGTGGCGGTGACAGTGGTGACAAGGACGAGTGCTAGAGTGTTGCTGGCAGGAAAGGCAACGTTGGAGCCTGTCACGACCCACGTAGACATGGTGGTGAGGGTGACCGTGACAGTGGCCCTCAGTCACTTCAAAAGCTTCTATTTCCTTCATTCACGACCCTCCTCACTTCCATGTAGGATCCAGGCGGTGACTCTTGGAGGCATCTTCCAGCTGGGGAACTGGAGCGAGGTTAACAGTATCCAGGACCACAACACCATTTGGGAAGGTTGCTGTGGCCTGCAGCCCACCCTGAAGGTAGCAGGGGGTGCCACTGCCCCCCACAGGGGCCCGGTAGCTTGCTCACTGGGGTACTTGAGGATGGGAAGGGACCATCACTGGATGGCTAGGCAAATGAGCTCCAGAAGAAATGGGCTAGCCCAGCATTTGATCATGTTCAGGGGATTTCTGCTGGGGGACTCATGAAACCTTGGCCATGACTAAGAGCTGCTCTCTCTGGAGGTGAAATCCCCCAAATGCCCTTGTCTGTTTTCCAAAGGAGTAGATGTAGTTGTTGCAGAAATCCCAGTGTTCACACTTGTCTGCTAGGGTGATGGTGAGGGGTGGGGATGGTGGGTGTGAGTGGTGATGAAGATGCTGAGGATGGTGAGGAGGAGGAGGTGGTGACAAGAGCATCTCATGGGGGCTGGTGGTTGGTGAAGATGGGGCAGTGGATGGAGCTGGGGGGAGGTATAGTGAGAGGAATGGTTCCAGCGGCGGATGGAAGTGGTGATGGTGACAGTGGCGCTGAATAAAACTAACGGGGAAGGTGGTGGTGATAAAGATTTTAATGAGATTCCAAAAGTGACCTCCCCATCTAAAAATGACAGCAGAAAAATATAACCCAGAGATTCATCACTAACATTTTTCTTTCTAGGATGCAAAGATTATTGGTGAATCGTCTGGCTTCCGGCCAGTACGCCCCCAGGTTCGGCTAGAACGAGAACAGCTTCGCTTTGGACCTTCGAACACAGAGGTATGCTCTACGCTGTATGGAAATTAAAGACATGCCCCCTCCACGTGGGCTCTAGAATTTTCAGGGAAGTCACGCCTGGCCTGGGGGCTCCACACAGCTCCCCTCCAGGCAGGCATAGTACCCCTCACCTGTAAATGGGGAAATAAACTCAACCAGCAGAAAAGACCTGTCAAGGTCACATAGAGGGCAGCACTAAAGGTAGTTGCTAAAGGCAGTGGCCAAGAAGAGGGAAAACGGCCAGATCTTACACCTCCACTAGCAATCTCATGGCGGCTCCCTTTCCTAGGACTCTGGGAGATCAGTCACTTGTACTCATCAGGCCACTGGGGTGGTGGGGTGGGGGCCGGACAGGTCGTATGGACTTGACTTCAGTGCCCCTTCCCAGATATCCACTTTGTGGCTTCTGCATCGCCTGTCTGGGGTCCCCTCTGTGTCCCCTGTCTCGGGACAGGAACTTGGCTTTTGGAGATGGTGGGTGTGTCCTGGGCTGAATGCAAGGAACTGACCTGGTTGCTGGTGGTTGGGCCCCAGCAGGAAAGCAATGCTCCCCAGGAGGCTTCCCTCCCCCCTTAGCTCTGCATGTGTGTGTGTGTGTGTGTGTGTAGAGTGAATGACAGACTAACTCTCTGCTGATGGCAAGGGCCCTCAGGTCTGGCCTCTGTCCCCCGGACAAGTTAGCACCCAATCCAGTGTCCACCGATGTGTTATCCCTGCTTTTCTTCCCTCCCAAGAAGGGTTGAAGAGCCCATCTGTTAACACAGGAGAGTCAACATTTCAGGGCAGGATGGGAGCCATGCAGGTGATTTAAGGAATTATGAGCACACTGGATGCCAAGGGGAAATTTCTGACCTCAAGTTCTGGACAATTTTTTTCTTTTCTTTTTTAAGATTTTATATAGAACTGGGGTACAGGCCAGAGGTGCAGGGGCGGTGAGAGGCTTCACTAGAGACAGAGTAGGCAGCAGAACAGGCAGATCGACGAAGTACACTGCTGAGGGGAGCAGCGGGCGGGTCAGGAGAGGTCTGCCGCGCCATGTGGTCACCTCAGGGGCAGGCGGGGATCGAACTCATGCTGAAGTGGCTTTAGCTTCTCAGTGCGTGCTCCAACCTACTGCACCCCCAGGGAGGGCCCTGGATGGTTTTACATGTGCTGGGTGCAAGAAACAGGTCCACCTTGTGAGCAAGAAACACCTGGGGTCAGCCTCTAGCTCCCCAAACAATTCCAGGACCCCACCACCCCACCATGCTGCTGAAAGGACCCCGAGTGTCCTGGGGCTCTGCCCAGCACTTTGCAGGAGCGCTGGGACTTCCAGAGCAGCCGCAGCCACCCCTGTCTTGCCTCTCCCAGGTCATCCACAACTATGGCCATGGGGGCTACGGGCTCACCATCCACTGGGGCTGTGCCCTGGAGGTGGCCAAGCTCTTCGGCCAAGTCCTGGAAGAAAGGAAGCTGCTTAGGATGCCTCCATCCCTCCTCTGATGATGCCAGTGGCCACCGCCTCCTCCACCCACACTCCCTGCTGCCCTCGCCAGCTGACTAGTGTGCTCCCTCCATGCTTGCTCTCCACCCCGCCCCCAGACCCCTCCCACAAGAAGCATGAGGTGAGAGGAAACCACAGGCCAGTGCCCGTGGATGAATCCACAAAGCCGAACCCAGCCCCAGCTAGGGTCCTCTGTGAGAGCAGGGGCCGCTCCCTCCGCTTGGGCCCGAATGGCGGTTGTTCCACGCGTCCTCACAAGAAAGGAGAGCTCAGAAAATGAGAGAGGGCAGTGGAAAACTGAAGGTCATTGAAGTCGCACCGATATAGGAAGGGTTCTAAAAAGCCCCACTGCCGAGACAGAGCTCTGACCATTTAAGGCACCTCCCTGAGCCCCTGGGGCTGAGCTTGGAGCTCCAGTGCCGCAGAAGGCTGCAGCAGCTTTCACTGCAGAAATAGTTGCACTTCACACTAGGGGTAGAACTGGAGTGTGGAAAGCAGAGACGAGAGAGACATCGAGTGAGTAGCATCTGATATTGTTCCACGCCCAGAATTCCAAATGGCATCAGCTGTCCACTTGAGTGGCCCCTGGACACCTGGGGACCCTTGAGAAGGAGCCACAAGGCACCCCTTTGTTAGAGAATAAACTCACCACGAGTATCTGTGTTTGGGGGGAGAGCTGATTTAACATCCTCCTGATCTCCTGGCTGTTCCCCCTGAGATGCAAAAAACAATACAAAACAAAACAAAAGATGGTTTTGAAAGATTTAAATGATCTAGAAGTCACCTGAACATCTTCATCCCTAATTGTCTGTCGGCTTCTGTGAAAGGCCAGAAGTCTTATGCATGTGGGGCCCAGCAGGAGGTGCTATGGGGGGGTCTTGAGCAGCCCAGGCCATGTCCTGCCTGTGCTAGTTCCCCTGAGGGTTTCTTCACGAGGCATGCACCCTGAATTTGGCCAGCCTCAACTAAGTAGGGGGAGAGAGCCAAGATGTAAGTTAGAGAGCTCTTGTCCTAATAATAATAGCACTTAGTAATTATGTCTAACATTTGTAGCGTTCGGGCCGGGTACCAGGCTTGTGCACAACTGACTACACATTACTCACTGCCGGCTCATCCCCTCCACGAGCAGTCAGTCGCGGTTCCTAGGTGTGAAGAACGAGGCACAGACAGTAGTAGGAGATAAGCAGCTAGGGAGGATGTTTAAACTATTTTGATCTAGCAGGCTAAAATTTGGAGATTCCACTTTCAAAAAAAATTCAAATTCCCGTCTTGAAAATCAGGAGCGTCTATGAGGTAACCAAGTTATATGGAGTTGAATCGTCACAGTCGCCCCCTTTGGAGAGGGTTGTGCTCCTCTCGACCCTCCCCACTTCCGCTTCCGCTTCCTGTTCCCCACACATTCTCTGGCTTGCTCACTCATGTCTCCTGGCTGTCCCCTGTGGGAAATGAACTGCTGCTCCCGGACTTCTAATAAAGCTGCACATCTTCATCTGAATTCGCCTGAGTATAATTTCTGTTCCTTGCAACCAGAACAGACTCGATGAGAACTGTGTAGTGGACTGCCCTCAGTTACCCCTCATCTCACCACCATTGCCACAGAAGCCCACTTTTGTGTTCAAGAGGCCGTGAGTTTCCCTTCATCCTGTGGGAAGATTCCTTCCTCGGCCCTAGAGGAGGACTCAGGCTGGGGTGGGCATGTGACCCATCCTGCTCCCATTAATGGTCTGGCCAATGTCCTTGTCATCAAGGTCAACGTGCTGAAGGCCTTCCTTTTCCAATCCAAAACAGTAGAAAGGAAACATTTTTACGACTACTCCTTCTTCATTCTAATGGAAATAAATGTGATGTCCGGCGCCTGGGTAGCTATTATGTGACCATGAGGGTTCACACATAAAGTCAAATAGACTTTATGCAAAGGATAGTAGAGAGGAAAGGCAGTAGGTGGGGCTTTGATGACATTGTTCGGCTACTTCCCCTCCCCGGGTGCTGCTTGACTCTGGACTTCTTGTGAAATGAATAATTAATACTCTAATGGTTTAAGCACCTATGCACTGGTTTTACTATTGATTGCAGGGCAAGGAATCCCTGTCCTTTGATGTTTATTAGCAATAACCAAGGGAGACACTTGACCTCCATCCTTCAAGGCTCTCTGGTGCTTAACATTGTTTACAAGGAACAAACAGCCATGTTCATTGCAAGATCAAACCTGAAGAACCTCTTTCATCTCATTTTCCACACCTCTCATGTACATGTTTCTGAGCATACGGAAGTTAGGGAAAGAAAGAATCTGTAACCCAGAGTACGTTGAGTATCTTCTGCCATTTTCTGAAATCTTCCTTAACACTTAGGGAAACAGATGATATTCTCATTAATGGGAACAGGAGCTTTGGGGAAGTTCAAAATTAGCTACAACTGTCTTCAGTGAAAGTCCCCATGCATTCCAGAAGCTTGGCCAAGTCTTGGGGCAGCTCTTGGATCATTCAATAATATTGATTATTTTTAAAGGGCAGACAATTTAAAGGCAAAAAATCTTAACTTTTATTTTCTCAAGAAGAAAAACCCTCAAGGTGCCAGCCCCTCGAGCCCCTGGAAATATTTCTGCCCACCAGACACTCCTCCCCCAGTTATCTGAGGGTGAAGGATGAACACACTCACCCAGTAGCGCCTGGCCAGCAGGAAGGAAAAAAAGACAGCCAAGGTCTGTGCCACTCAGGAGAGCTTAGCAGGCCAGAAATAAAGGAGGGGCTGCCACTCTGGTTCAAGGAGAGGCTGGGGTCACGGAGAAACAGAGCTGCCATTCCCCCTCCTCTCTGAGGGCCTGGCTCAGGGGTGGGTTCTATCCACCATTGACCTAGGATTTGAAGCAGAAGTCACCTGGCCTCAATGCCATTAGCAAAAAGTGCTACTAACAGACTCAAATGCACAGCGCTGGCAGCGGCCTGCCTCTCGCCCCTCGCTGGGCAGGTGAGCAGGTCAAAGCAGAATCCGGCCCTGAGATGACCCCGTGCAATGTCGGCCGCTCAGCGAACTCACACACCAGGATAAATGCACATCCTCGCACCGCGCAATGTCCATCACCAACATGTTTAATAAGAGATGAACATACACATTTGGCTTCCTGGCAAAGTTTACTTCAAGCAGAGGGTCAGTCTTCTCGGCCTTTGAAGGGATCTGGCGGCTTCTGCCTTCATGATGGGGAAGAGGCGTCGTGTAAACCGAGTCCTGAGGAGGACGTCGCCTGCGAGGACGTAGCGCCAGCCCTTCTTCCAGAGGCCAACCCCAAACCCACTGACCTTCTTTCTTTTCCTTTGAAAATGGACACATGTCACACACCTGGGCCCTCCCGTGCCCACCCCACGGCGCTCCCGCCACGGGCCCCTGGCTGGAAGCCCCTGAAGCTGCTCCTGTGTAAAGACCCAGCCGTCCCTGTGTAAGGACTCTGCCCACAGGGGTGACAGAGAAATCGGGGAGCCAGGGTCCCCGCCCCCCTCACCCTGCAGGAGCAGGTGGTTTGCATCACATCCTCTTGGTTTCCCTGCGCCATTAGCCACCTGCCCACGTGCAAACCCAAAGCCCACCAAGCACTGAACGGAAAACCTGAGTTAACTGTGTTCTTTCCCAGAGAGTCACCCGGCAGCCTGACCTGGGAGGGGCCAGAAAAGAAGTCCCAGGGGAGACCCCGCTGTGGCACTGAGATTGTTCTCGCCTCCCTTCTGCCTCTGCCCCAGTTCCCAGGGGTGACAGCCTCCTGAAGTTGTCCTCTGGTGCAAGCCCAGCACCCCTCGTGCCCCCAACACAGCTGGATCCTCTGCACCTAGGGATGGCAACCCTGTCGGAGGCTGGGGACATGTGGCTCCAGTTCAAAGATATGTCCACCTGCCGGTCTCTACCAGATAGGTCCTGGGGGCGGGCAACCGAGGGGCCACTTCTAGACATCTCGTGGACCCAAGGAAAAGCTGCTCAGGCCACCTGGAGTTCAAGGTCTGGGCTGGAGCCATGGGAGGCACCTTCTGAAGAGGTCCGGCACAGGGTGGGGTTCTGGGTCTGGACAGAACCTACATAGATCTTTGGGTGGCCGTCACGGAGGGTGTGGCCGGCTAACTCTGGGTGGCATCCGATTGGCAACCAGTCACCAGACACTCCCAATGTGGCAGTTTTCCCATGCAGAACCCCAGGTTATGAACAAACCTCCCCCCACATAGAAAGAACCCCCCGGAGCAAACACCTCCCCATCTCCGGGCGGATCTCTATGAATATGAGCGAACAGAGTCACGACACAAAACCCTGTGGATCCAGGTGCACCCGTGGGTGAGTCCTGGGTGTCGGCAGTGACGTCAGTGCCCGGCTCCCCGCACTCTACAGCCTCAAAGGCCAGCTCTGCCCTCACCGGTCACTACTCTTGAGAGCCCGAGTTCGACCTGGTGACGCCGGGGCCGTGCGTCCCTCGGCCGACCATCTCCTGGCCCCACTCCCGGTGGCTGGACTCCTGCAGTCCGCGGCCTTTGGTCTCTATGGGCAAAAAGCAGGAGGCCACAGCCGCCAGGAGGCAGCAGCCACTGTAAACCGCCAGCGACAGGTACACAGAGGATTCCAGCATCACCTGGGGAAGGAGACGGTGCAGGTGAGAGGTGCCCTTCTGATGCATGGTACCACCCAGCAGCTGGGTGAAGCCGGGAACGGGAGCCCCTTTTGTTAGCAATTGAGATTTTCCACTCAGTTCTCCTGACAGTTCTAAAAGGGAGGTGCTGTTTGCAGGTGAAGAACAGGGGTTCACAGAGGATTAAGTAACATGCCCAAGTTCAGGCAGATAAGGAAGCAGCTGGGATACAGAACTCAGCCCCCAGGCACGCTCGAGGGCCTGGAATCTCCTGGCGCAGCCGATTTCCCAGATTCATGCCTGGGCAGATCAGACAGCAAGGCTGGACCTCTCCTCCTCTGTGAATGGGCACCGGGTGGTCTTCCCGAAAGACCATGCAGGCGGAGGCCAGCTCTCAGCCAGCACTAGGAGTCCAGTGGCCAAAGAGAAACGTGCCAGATAGAAATATTCATTTAAACATGTGTTGGGATTCTATTTATACAAATTACCAATAACCAGCAAATGCATATAGACAGAATCGGCTGAAGTATTCTGGGGAGAAGGGATGATGGAGATGGAGTTTTCTTTTGGGAGGGGGTGGAAATGCTCTGGAACTGATACAGCAATCCCTTTCCTGTCTCTAAAAATAAAAATGCTTCAAGACACACAAAAAACAGCAAGATGCGGCAGTAACCCCAATTCAACAACCAGGGGCTGGGACATTCACTTGGCCTATTTGTTTCTATCCAAATTATTTTCGGCCACGTCCAGTGGACCCCCACTGTCTTCTGCCCAGGAAAGACTTGGGTTTGATCACCAGCGTCTCTGCTCCCCGACGTGACCTCAGGCGAGTTCCCTTCACCTTTCTAAGCACTATTTCTACTATGTCTTTCCAAGGATGGGTCACTAGGGAGCAAATAAGAGGACTTGTGGGAGGCTCAGTAGGCGGTCACTGCTTACCGCGCACTGGTTTGGCCACGGCCGCCCCCTCCATATTGAGGTGGCACCTACCTGAGCAATGAACGGAGTGATGAGCGCACCCACTCTGGCCATACCACTGCAGGTGCCCAGGCCCAGGGCTCGCGTCGCCGTGGGGTAGACCTGAAACACAGCCACCCACACGGGCTTGAGAAAATGCGCCCCACCCCGCGCCCCTTCTCTCCACCTCTAGGGTGACAGGCTGGGCCCTCACCAGTGGGCTTGAAGTTAGGGTGAGGTCCTTAAGGGTGGGAGACCAGGTGGGTATGCTCACCCCAAGGGGATAAGGAGTTCAACTGAGAAAGGTTAAGAGGCCAAGTTCTGGGTGAGGACCCAAAAAAGTGGTCCTCCCTGTCTGGGACAGTCTCCAAAGACCTCCCAGCAACTGGGTACCCCATTCTGGACCCAGGCACTGTTCCATGCCCCCCCCCGCCCCCAAAGCACTGGCCATGGACTGTCCAGGAATTTCATAAAAAGAGATGAAAGTCCTTACTTAGTTTCACAGCCTGTACCCAGAAGCCTGATGCTTATTCCCCTCTGGGCAAAATGAGGTGGGACGTTAGGAAGTGGGTACATCTCTATCCCCTATCCCAGACTGCAGCTGGCAGGGACTGGGAGGCCCCAGGTAGGGCTTCTCCATCCTGGCACTATGGGTGTGGGGGCTGGGTCATTCTCCAACCAGGGAGACCTGTGGGATGTTCAGCAGCACCCCGACCTCAGCACTTCTGTACCTCCCACCCAAGTCATGACAACCCATGCTACCTCCAGACGTGGCCAAAAGTCCCCTGGGGGACAAAATTACCCTTGTTTAATAATCACTGCAGGAGGAAGCAGCAACAGCGTCCCTAATCACTGTGGGGATGGATGTTGTCGCCAAACTGGAACACCTTACTGGACTGTTTCCTAAGGGAGGAGCTTCTGTGGTGTTGTTAAATTCCATTTGGGGGTTATCTGTTAGAGCAGCTGGCATGTCTCTAACAAGGACATTGCTAAGAAAGCTTGGAAAGAGGCCCTCCCTGGTGGTGCAACGGGTTAAAATGCAGCACCATGAAGCTGCTGCAGCCACTGCAGCATGAGTTTGATCCCCAGCAAAGGGGGTGACCCACATGGCGCAGCAGATGTCTCCTGATTCATCCACTGCTCCCCTCAGCAGTGCATTTAAGTACATATTTGTCTGTTCTGCTGCCTACTCTGTCTGCAGTGAACCCTCTCACCATACTCACCTCTGGCCTGTACCTCAGTTCTTGTATGCATAAATAAATAAATCTTTAAAAAAAAAGAAGAAGAAAGCTTGGAACGATTGAAAGGCTTAAATCATGCTTGATCCCAACAGTTGGCAAAAACCATCATCACACTTCCATGCACTTTCTTCCCAGTATTTCTATGACTGGATACACATGTGTGTATCTGCTCACTTAATAATTTGTTCATCTAATACCTTTTGAGTATGTAAGTATACTACACTTATATGTGATATTTTATTTTTAAATATATATTTTTAAATTTATGAATACAGAACTGGGGCACTGACGAGAGGTGCAGAGGTGGTGAGAGAATTCACCAGAATCAGAGTGGGGAGCAGAACAGGCAGATTGCGGAGGGGAGCAGTGGGCGAGACAGGAGAGGTCTGCCGCACCATGTGGGTCAGCTCCAGGGCAGGGAGCAGCAGCTTCAGTGCTGTGGTTTAACCCGCTGCGCCACCAGGGAGGACATTGTATATGATATTTTAATTCACTCAATGGCACAAGCAACATATACATATATTTCTACTGTAAAAAAAAAAGCAAAACATCTAAATTCGCTTTTGATTCACTCTCTCTCACAGGAAGAGTCTTTTCAGACAGACTGTTATGAAGTTTGAAATGTATCCCCCCCCACACACCAAATGGATCCAAAACATGTGCATGGAAAAGACAGAGCTTTAAAAATAAATGGAAATGGAATCACACCATACATGGTCAGCCTGCAACTAGTTTTTCCATTCGACAGAATGTCTCACGTCATATCCGCATCAGTATAGAGGCATCTACAGACGCACTGTGTTCCACAGTGGGTATGTCAGTTATAATTCTCTAGAGCTTATGGACACGATTTAAGTGCATGTTTTATATATATTCTATCATATAATAAAATGTAGTTGATTCCTGTAGTTCCATATGCTAGTACTTCAACGAATAATTAACACATTGATATCAATATATAATAACACATTACACATGTTATATATTAATATCTAATTATATAGATCATATATGATAAACACAACTCAGCAATTATATGAGTTGAGATTCATTCTTTTTTCCCTACTTTGTCAAAAGCTGTCTTATTAAAGCAAATAAATCATTACCACTACTCCAAATTCAATAGCCAATGGCGGTGCTAAGTTTCAGATTAATTCTCAAGGAGGCACAACCCCAACAATTTGAGAAGATTTTCACCTTAGTACTACATGTAATAGCTGAAACGTTGGAGAACAACTCAAATATCCCTTAGCAGGAGTTAAATTCAGTATCAACTGTATTCTATGCAATTACAAGTAAATATACTATATATTGTATACTATATACTATGTACTATATAGATAACATATAACACACAATGTATATTACACACAATATATATTATAGATACTTTGTCATACATATGCAAATATATGCATAATTCAGTTAAAAAAGTTATAATGAGTTTACCATATGCTGGACAATTCCATACACACACACACAAATACATGCATATAAAACATATGTGTGTGTAACCTAGTACATATAAAACACATGTTACCACATATATATCACATGTGTGATTATCTACACTATGTAATAAAATACATGTGCTTGCATGTTCTTGCACATGTACCCATAGGATATATATGGCTATATATACTGTTACAGAAATGGAGTTGTCCAGCATATGGTCGACACTCCTAACTTTTAAAGTGGAAGAATGAATTAGAATTCTATTTTTGCTCTTTCTCTGTGGAGAATTCTGAGCATGGACTGAAGACAGAATGGCTGGCAGCACGGCTCTCTGCCCCCAGCACAAAGCCTGTGTTTGTCTCAGTCACTGCCTTCCTCCCTTCCTGCTGTGGCCTGCAGGCCGCTGTGAACCTTGGGCCCCTCCCTCCATGTGGGCTGAGCAGCCTCTTGGGATCTCCTGATGCCCTTGGGAACTCCAACTGTCAACCCACAAACCTCTGTGGAGGGGACACAGGCCATGAGACAATCAAAGACCAGAAGACCCAGGTCCTGCTCACATGGAACCTTAGCAAAGTCTCCTTTGGGGGACAGGTTATCTGGCATGACTAAAAATACCAAAATGGTGTGCAGACACTGAGGAAGAGGGGAAATTGGGGAAGATGAGGGAGGGCTTCCTGGAGGAGGCAGATCGGAGCTGGATGGGGAAGGTGAAGTGGGGTAAGGGGTTCAAGACCATAACTCTGGAGTGCTGGGCAGACCCATGGGCATCTCGCCTGCCCAGCATCTGCTGCGTGATGGTCTCCTCCTCCCTTTGCTCCTATCCAAAATAAGACGGAATAGAGGAAATGACACATAACCCCCGAGTGTGTGCTGCGTAAATTAGCGCAACTGTCGGGGACGGGCCCCAACTAAAATTGAACTGTTCCGGTGGGGGGCGAGACAAGCAGGGCTCTAAGGTGGGAATGCGTTTGCGAGTGGAGATTCCAATAGGGGAGAGGGGAGTGGGCACAAGAAAGTCACGGGAGTCGGAGCGGGGTGCAAGTCTTCCTGCCCAGTCTCTCAGCAGGTCTTTATTTATACTGTGTAGCAAGTAGTCAATTACAATAATGTACAGGGTAAGTTAATTAGAGAGCGCCATAAATTGTCATAAAACTTTCTCAAGGAAAAAAGGGGCACAATGTATTTTCTTCCTAACATTTTATGGTATAATAAGTTATACACATTTGTGATAACTGCCACGTATACAGAGGGTTAACTATAACTCAAGGGAAGAGGGGTCTGGAAAAGGATGAGCTATTAGCAAAAGATTATTAGGGGTCTTAGGGAAGTAATAAATTGTGTTAGCAGATATCAGTGATTGTCTAAAGAGAAGCTAGTGGCTAATTTAAGGCTAGTAGAGAGTAGTGTTTGTTTAAGAAAAGGGTAATTTAAGGCTAGCAGAGAGTAGTTAGTGATTATTTAAAAGGAGTAAATTAAGAAAAAGTTGTACAGTCTTACATTAAGCAACACCTGTGTAAACAAGGTTAAAAATTTGTCCATGAGTTGTTATGCCCTGGGAGTCTTATCTGAGATTTGCTTTTTATTAAAAAAAAAAAAAGGAAGCTTCCCAGGAGTCTTTATGCCCTGGGGGTCTTATCTCTCCTGGGGCTTGCCTTTTGTTTTAGGAGGCAGAGGAATTTCCCACCCTGGGGCAGCTTGCTTGGACCTTAGGCTAAGGCAATCCAGTTGTAAACTGGTGATTGCTCAGAATATTTTGATATGATTATACAAAAAAAGGAAAGTCGTAACATAAGTTAGCAATGGAAATTCTGATTTTTCAGAGCATTTCCCTTCTATCCGGAATTTGTCGGTCCACAGAAATTGCATAGATTTTGTCACGCAACATTTTAGAGGATGATTTTTTTCCGTTTCTTTCACCATTGACAATGTTTACAGGTTTTGACTTAGCCAAAAAGGAAGCACAAATTTCACAAGAACACAGAAATCTGGTCACCTCAGCACTGCTTGTTCTTGGGAGAAACTGGAAAACAATCCAAACATCTGCTCATGGGAGAATTATGACAAATTATGATTTGACTATACTACATATATATAGTGATATATACAGCAAATATACCACACACACAATATATATATATTATACATATATATATATATTGTCCAGCATATGCAAATCTAGTATTTCTATTTACTACATAGCATGTAACACATATGGTAGTCACACTAAATGGAGTACAGTATAACAGCTGTTTGAAAAGAACAAGGCAGGTCCAGCTGTCCACTGCTCACTGTCCACTGTCCACTGCTCACTGTGCCCCGTCCCTCCCTCCAGAACCTCTTTCTACCCTTTCCCACCTGAGTCTTGTCCTGGCACTGGCCTGTGTGGACTGCAAAGAACTCCTCATCCTCTGGCTTCTGAATCAGCCAAAGGGAGCCCCCACAGGTGATGGATGAGGTGGGAGCAGACAGGTGCTTATTCCTTTGCTCCTCCCCTCCGGGGTGCCTCAGGCCACATGCAGTGCTCATCTGAAGGTCAAGCTTCTCTCAAGGTGAACCTCTCTACACCATTCCCTGCTAGCAACCTGTGGCGGCCCCCTTTGCATATCCCATGGAACTTCTATGGCAACGGGGTTCCCAAGCACCCCCCACTCCGTTGCAGGCTCTAGGGTGCTGCTTACTAGTTCCCTAAAGCCTGACCTACACCATGTCATTCATCCCTTTATTAAACTATTTTCAGTTGCCTGAGAAGAGTTACCTGATTTGACTCATGCTCTCACATATATTGGCATATGCTTACAGAAATCTCTGAAAGAAAATACACTAAATTATTTAAGAAGGTTGTCTAGGAAGGGGAAATGAGGGACTCTACTTTTTGGCTTTATACAGCCCTGTACATTTGAAATTTTAAGTGAACATAAGCTTTTTATAAGTGTGGGGGGGGGTGAGGGGAAGACAGATAGCAGCATATTGAAAAAATGAGAAGCTTCCCAGGCACCACTTATACCCGGGGCCCATCTGGGGACTTTGGGGACTTTCTGCAGGCAGAGCACCTCCCTCCCTGCCCGACCCAGTCCCAGACACCCCTCCTACCTCAGGTGTGTAAACATAAGCCGCCTGGAAGCCTCCAGAAATAAATGCTCTTGCAATGAAGAGTAATAGAGTAAGCATATTTCTAAGGAAGAGATAAAAAAGCAGATGAGAAGGTATTTTTTTCTGCCAGCTTCTATCAGCAAAGTCCTAACTGCCGGGACAGAGTTTACACCCTAGAAATTGCAAAGTCCAGCCTACGCATACACATCCCCAGAGGCACACAGCCAGCACACCCAGGCACACTGCAAAGGCCCCGTTACAAGCTTACTCGCCAGGGCAAGAGGCCAAGAGATGGGGCATCTGTGGTTCCCTGATGGTGAGGAGTGATATAAATAAAACCAATTCAGGGCCTTGTAGGGATAGGAATTGAGTCAGAAGCCAACTCAGCTAGGGAAAGGGACGTTCTATTCCATAGTATTTTTAGGGTCACCCTGGTCCCCAATCTCAGTTCCATCGTTGCTGTCAATGTCCCAGAATACCAACATTTCAGGGTCTAAGCCACATCGCTGGCTCTTCCATAGACTCCTCATCATCTTTGGTTTGAGGCCAGGCAAAAGATCAGACAGATCAAGCTCATATTTTGAGATCCTCGAGAGGAGGAAAAGTGGGGAGATGCCAAAGGGGTTACCGAACAAGGCCTATGTGAACGATTTCACTGAACAATGAACTCTTTTCAGCCAGACACAAATTAAACGGTTACCTGCATGATCTGGTTGGGTGAGGATGTCAAAAGTCTACATTTGACACTGTTACAGCAAAACCTAAATCCAAGCACCCCACCCACCCCCAGTCTCTGAGCCTCATCTTTTGGTCCGTTGCCAGGAGCCTCCATCCTAGTGAGGGGCTAGATGGGGGTCGGCCCTTCGAATGATCCCCAGGGGTATAGAACACGCCTGCCGGCCCAGAGTGCTGCTGACCACGACCGGAGAAGTGGGCCTGCTGGCAGAGAGCAGTGCCGCACCCACCTTCCGACACAGACAAACAGCAGGAGGCTGCACAGGGAGAACACGATGAAGCAGACGGCCATGGTCTTCTTGCGGCCCAGGCGATCAATGATCCACAGAGTCACAAGGACACCTGCAGGGGCACAGGACACGGTGACAGGAAGCTTCTGACATGGCTCCCAGTGACCTCCACACCCCTGGGGTTCACTCTCTGTCTCACCCCTCTGCTTGAGGCGGGCTAGGCCCAGTAACTGTCTTCTAATGACTATAATCTAGCAAAAGTGATGGGCTGAAGGTACAGAGACTGTGACTTATGTCGTGCCGGTCCTCTCTCCCCTGGCTCTTCTGTAGTCATCTTGATGGAGAAGGACACCTGGCAAGGGGCTCAAGGTGACTTCTGGCCAATAGCCACAGAGGACCGATGAGGTTCCGGGTTGCAAACTTCCTCAAGGAATTGAATCCTGTCAACCACCACTGGAGTGAGTGTGGAAGCACACTCTATTGCTGTGCTGTGGATAAGTCTTTTGTCTCTGATCTGGGGATCTTGTGTCTTCTGCCAGCAGGCATCAAACTGGGTAGCTTAATTTATTAGTCTTGGAGCAGAGTAAAAGCTCAATCCAGTCACAATTCTTGACAGTCATAGCTAAGGAAAGACAACCTAGCCAGTCCTTAGGATGGGATTTGTTTCTGGGTGGCCTCAGCTAAACTATCACATGCTCAGGCTTCCCAGTCCCAGGCCCACCTTGCAGGGGTCCCTCACCTGGGAACTCTGAGAGGGTCGTCCATAGTAGGTCCATGTAGTCCTCCTCACTCAGGTACTCACAGGCCAGGCTGCATTTTGCCTCCACTGCCTTCTTCCGGCTGGAGACTGGGAAGTGGAAGACAGAGAGAAATAGAGGAGAGCCATGCCCAGAGCCTGAATCACACCTTCTTGGGCCCCACACCTCCTTCCCTGGGTAAGATTCAGCTGGGTGCCAAGAAATGCGAGGGGAGGTACCTGTTCTCTGCCCCCCCCCTTTTTTTTAAGATTTATTTATTTGTGCATACAGAGCTGGGGTACAGGCCAGAGGCAAAGGGGAGGCGAGAGCCTTCATCAGAGACAGAGTGGGGAGCAGAACAGGCAGATCTACGAAGTACACTGCTGAGGGGAGCAGTGGGAGGAGAGCAGTCAGGAGAGGTCTGCCACACCTGTGGTCGCCTCCGGGGCAGGCGGGAATCGAACTCATGCGGAAGTGGCTTTAGCTTCTTAGTGCTGTGCTTTAACCTGCTGCGCCACCAGGGAGGGCCATTGCCCCCCACTTTTTTTTTTAATGAAAAGGAACTTTAATACACTAAATATACAATATGGAACACAAAGAATATAACTTCTAAATCAAACACCTGAAGTGACCCATCCCCTCGTGGGCAAAAGTCACCCCAAAAGGGATTGGCCCAAAACAAGGCCTGAAAGCCACCACAAGACTAAAGCACCTGCTGGCCGCGACCCATGGAAAAGGGTCAGACATGGCCAGACAAATCTGGGAGGAAAAGAGCAACATCAAAATCACTATAAACACTGCCATAGTCGCCTCCCTGCAGGTCTCTCACCCACATCTGCCTTAACCAGTCCAGGGCCAGGAAACAAGCACGGTTTCTCCATCCCATGCTTGCTGCTCCATGTGGCTTCCTCAGACCTCCTTCTGGCTCTCCATCCTGCTTCCTTCTCTCCTTCTCTCTTCACTGCCCCCCACTTTTAAGCGGCTTTTGAACTAGCTGCTGGGCACAAGGGGCAGAGCCAAGCTGCCAGGTGAAGTTATGTCACTCAGAAAGCAGGTTGGCTCTGGGCGCTCTTCCTTTGCAGCCCCAGTGTTCACCCTGTACGCCCTGGTACTGTTGCAAGGGGGCTTGAAAGAGAAGCATGGGTGAGAGACACAGGGGAGGCCGACGCTGGCAGCCGTTACACTGACTGGCGATTTTGCATCTCCTTGTCCCAGACTTGCCTGGCCCCGGGCCTCCTTCTTGCCATTCCATGCCAGAAGGTACGTTACATTTATGGCTATGTTGAGCTTTAAGAGCACATCCCCACCCCAAGGTAACCCTGTTTGGCCGAGCAGTTGACCATGAGGGGATAGGTAATCTGGGGTGATTTACTGAGAAAATTACCCTCCCTTCTCTCCCTCTCTATGCCTATTGGTTCTATTCAAGACCCATGACACTAAAAGTATGTTTCACTTGTCTTTGTGCAGCAGGTGGCAAGACTCTGTTTCCGAGTGTGCACTCTGTTTTTTGGGGTCCCTGGGTAGTCTTTGGTTACACACTAATAGCTCACCTGCCAGGAGTCAGACAAATTCAGGTTCAAACACCAAAAAGCTGTTCTATAGCTTTATACCCTGAGGCTCAGTTTCCCCATAAAACTGGGTCAATACTACCACGGGCAACAGGTGGAGAGAAGGGAAGCAGGCTGTTGAGCACGCTTGGGCAGGAATTGGCACACACCGGTTTGCAGTCTGGCGCTCATTACTTCCTCCACCACCTATTTCTCTGTCCTTGCTTACCTCAACCCGGTCACAGGGGTCTTCACTAAGGTCTGCTTCTACCTCAGGACCTTCGCACAAGCTGTTCCCTCTTCCTAGATTGCTCTTCAGATATCTCCATGATGAATTGTTTACTTCCTTTTCTTTCTTTATATCTCGCCTTCTCCCTGAGGCCACTCTGACTATATTAAACTTCAGCCCACTCCCAGCCTCCCGCTCTACCCCACACACCTCAACCTGCTTTGCTGTCTTCCCTCCACACCCACCTCTACTCTATGTTATTTGTGAGGAAATAGCATGAGAGCCTTTGAAAAGGGAAAGGGTTCCTGTCTAGTGCACCCTTATAGGCTATCACACCTTTTGTTGTCTTTGAGATATTTTATAACTCAGAACATTTTAGAATACCGATACTAATGCAAATGAGTCTGGTCCATCAAAATGCAAATTGTGTCTGGTGCAGAGGCAATTACTGCCTGATGCATACTCACAAGCTGACCTCTAATTGTAAATCCATGTCAGCATTCCTGATTGCCCATATACATGAGTGTTTGGAATTCGCCTCTGAATCAGCTGGAACCTCTTACTGGTAAGAATGACTTCTCATACGTCTCTCACATTTCTGCACCTCTTAAGCATGGTGTGGCCAGCCTTGTTTTGGACTATCTCCTCAAGGACTTTTATTTATTAAACGGACTTGAAAGATGCAGAATGACTCTTTTTGGAGCAAAGGGCAGGTTTGTCTGTGGCCTTTGAAGATACATACACCATCCCCGTCCCCCATGGCATAGGGTAGGTGGGCTTAGGAGCTAGTGTAAAAGATCTGGGAACTCTAAGTTTGGGGTGCCATCTTTGGAACACAACCCACTTCTTTTGTAGGTATCATCTGCCCTCTTCATATCTCCCCCTGAGAATTGGGGCTCAAAAAACTGGTGTAATAAAATTCTGATACTGTAGCTATTGGTTATCATTGTGAGTGATCAAGTCTTTTGTCTCTGATTCAAGAGTGTCCTCTCTTTTGCCAACATCTATGGGAGCTGTGAAAGGGTAACTTGTTCGCTTAAAGAGAAAGAAACTGTCATACTTTTTGCCGTTTATTCATTCATGAGTTTAATAGAATAAAATCTTTGACATGTGTTCATTTTATATTTGTGTGGGGGAGTTTTTTTCTTAATTTTTAATATACTATATCACACTATATAATTTCCTTACTTATTGTCCTGTTCACCTCTCTTTCTCTTTTGTTTTCTCTCTCCCCAGCCCACATGAAAATACAAGGTTACAGGGCAGGGACATTTGTGGGGGGTTTTTGTTTTCACTGATGTATCTTAACCCTTAAACAAATGCCTGGCACATAGAAAATTAATATTGCGTGAAAGATTTGCCCAAGGTCACACGGCTACTTGGTGTAAAGTCCGGGCTCCCTGATTTCCAGCTGTGGGCTTGATGAAAAGTATCACTTTCCCAGCAAGGAATAAGAGAGCGTTTTTAACTGGAGTTGGCAGATTACCGCCTATCAGTCAAAACTGGTCTCTTCCCTGCTTCTACTTGGCTCAAATGGTAAGAATGAGCTTTATGTTTTTAAGTGCTTTTTAAAATAAAGAGAAGAATAGTACTTCATGGTAAAAATGTTATGAAATTCAAATTGCTGTTGGAACACAAGCAACACTTGCTTGTTTACATATTCTCCATAACTGCTTTTCTGCTACCGTGCCTAAAATATTTACTCTCTGGCCCTTTATAGAAAAGACTGGCGAGTCCCTGCTTTGTTACATTTCACTGGATCCTCTGCTTTCCTTAAGTGGTTCCACTGTTAGGGGCATGAGATTTATGCTCAATCAATATCAAACCTCAAATCTATAACAGAGTTGCTTCCTCAAGCAGTTAATTTAGGCGCTCCACCATTCTCCAGGGAGATGTGATTCCACTTGCTCATGAAATAAATCCTTATTCCGATCACCCACAATATTAACTAAGACTTGAGACGCTTGATACAAATCAGACAATTGGGTAAATTCTGCAAATGAGCAAGAACTCGATCCCTTCCTCCTCCACCCTGGGTTCAGTATTAGGCATCTAGTCTTGTCGCAAAGACAGCCTGGCCAGAGAGGCCTGAACCCTGTCCATCACCTGCGCTTTTTATGCATTCCTCTGTCCAGTGGGCCTCACCTCCAGCTGCACAATAGACTCACCTAGGCACCTTTCCAGGTGTATTCCTGCCTGGACCCCACCCCCAGAGACGCTAATTAAACTGGTCTGGGCGTTGTTTAAGTGGCACCTGCACTGATTAAAAGTTCCCCCAGGTGCTTCTGGGGTTGGCAGGGTTGAGGTTCAACCAGGTTCTGGGAGGCAACGTGCATTGAGAATAGCAGCCCAGGGCCTTGGCTTTCAATTCAGGGTTTTGCTGCTGCGACAACAGCAGTGCCAGCTCCTTCACGATGGCGATGTTGGGTTCTTCAGGGCATCTTGGAGGCCACAGCTCAGATCTATGTGCAGATTTTGCAGAACGTGCCTCTCTGGAGTTTGGAGGTAACGTTACGGGTGTGTGTGCACGCTCAGTCCTGGAAGGGCAGAACCTGGGGTGGGAATGTGTGTAGGACGCTGTGTGTTGGGGGTGGGGTAGGTAGCGGGGAGAGGGGGCTGGATACTCACTGCTGCACACATCTCCGGCCTGAAAGAGCTCCGTGGTGAGCAGAACGAGTCCATAGTAGGAAAATGCATTGGAGAACCTGCCAGGAAGCAACCAAGAAAGGGGAGGAAATGAGAAAGGCCCGGCCTCTCACCTCATCCCTTTGGCAAGGACGTGCATGCACAGCAGTGGAGACCAGTCTCCGGGCCTCTGACTCCCACTGGGACTTTGGGGCACTCAAGGGCCCTTGGGGGGCCATGCAGGTATGAAGCAAAGTCATGGATGATGGAAGTGATCCCATCTCATCTGGAAGACCAAAAGCTGTCATATCACACAAAGGCCACTCAGGGGTGTCTACCCAAGTGGCAACAGGGATAAGAAAGTTGGGGAGACCCAAATTTGGGAGAAAACAGTCAGCATTGACATCTATTGGAGCTTTGGGGTCTAGAGGGCCAGTTGGATAGGGAAAAGAGGGAGAAGCTTTAGGAGCTACGAAACTGGGGTCCAGTTCTGTCCCCACATTCTTGGAGCTGACGCAACTTGCCAAGAAGCTTTGGGAGCTACGAAACTGGGGTACAGTTCTGTCCCCACATGCTTGGAGCTGACGCAACTCGCCAAGTATTTATTAAATATGTGCTGTGTGCCCAGTGCTGGTGTGGAGCCAGCAGACAGCACTAGAATTTCAGATTGGAATGAGGGAGTTAATGAATCCCTGGCTGTCCCAGGAACCAAAATACATAATTCCGTGGGACCAGAATGTTCTCCTCCTGTGGCACAGTTTTGTGGGAACTCAGCTATAATCAGATGATCTCCTTGGGTCACAGTATGTGCTTTCAATCGTGAGCTAAAATGAGTTTCTAATTGATTGCCTTAGTATTTGACAAGGATCTGCTCAATCGAACCCCACACACTCAAAGGTAGGTACTCTTGGGCCCTCCCTGGTGGCGCAGCGGGTTAAAGCACAGCACTAAGAAGCTTAAGCCACTTCAGCATGAGTTCAATCCCCGCCTGCCCCAGAGGTGACCACATAGCGCGGCAGACCTCTCCTGACCCGCCCGCTGCTCCCCTCAGCAGTGTACTGCGTCGATCTGCCTGTTCTGCTCCCCACTCTGTCCCTGGTGAATCCTCTCACCCTCCACATCTCTGGCCTGTACCCCAGTTCTGTATGCATAAATAAATAAATCTTTAAAAAAAAAGTAGGTATTCTTGACTGTACCCCACTTCCCCATGCCCACTACTCCCTTTTTAAAAATCCTGCGGACTCAGCACTCATACTGGGCCCACAACAGGTGTTTGATAGATGCCTGGTGAGTGGATTCAGTGCTCAGGAAGGCGGGGGCAGCTTGTGTACTCTCAGGGTTCCCCTCCTCTTCCCTGCAAGCTAGGTGACCCCTTTCACGCCGCTTCCCTGGTAGCACCTCTTCTCAAAAGTAAACAAAAAAAGTGAGAATAAAGGTTTAGCCAGACCACTTTGTGTCTGGTTAATGCTACATGCGTGACCTGGCAGCAAGAGAGCTGAAAGATCAGCTGACACTGATGAGTTGTGGAATTTGAGGTAACTGCTCTCCGCAATGCCCCACTCTGGTCCTCTGACAGTGGCTGCTAATTAAGAAAATTTGAAAAGGGTAGGGACTGAGCGTTCTTTTCTTTTTAAACATTTATTTATTTATGCTTACAGAGCTGGGATACAGGCCAGAGGTGTTGTGAGTGAAAGGATTCACCAGAGACAGAATGAGGAGCAGAACAGGCAGGGTGATGGAGCACACAGTACACTGCCGAGGGGAGCAGCAGGCGGGTCGGGAGAGGTCTGCCGTGCCAAGTGGACCAGCTCCCTGCTGGGGGATGAGACTCGGGCTGCAGTGGCTTTGGAGAGTTTCATAATGCAGTGCTTTAACCCTTCGAGCCACCAGGGAGAGGCTGGAACTGAGAGTTCTAAGAATGTCCATGTTGACCAAACCAGTGATCCCCAAATCTGGGCCCTGTGCCACCAGAGTACTCAAGGTGACGTGAGTGGGGACAGGGACAGACCTAGCTCTTACCAAAAAAGTTCCCTTGTAAGTTTCAAATCTTTCGGGAGCTCCAGCTCCTTTATGTGCTGAGTTCTTAACAGCCCCCCCGGCCCCACTTTCTCTCTATCTCTTCAATATAATGCCTCAGTGTCTTGGCAAATCATCTCGCTACTTTGAAGTATTTCTCCTTAAAAGTACCTTTCATCTATGGTCCACAACTAAGACTTTTTTCCTCCTTAAAGCAAACATATAACATTACTTTTTAAAAGATATTTATCAGAGTAAAAAGTGAGCCAAATTATAGATGACCAGGGAATAACAGTCCAGGAGCTGCCTGGAGACAGCGGACGTCAGGCATCGGGAATGCCATGCCCGAGTCCTGCTGATCGGACGTTCTCCACGCACCTGTCACACTCAAACAAAACCCAGAGCAGGGTGAGGTGAACGGGGCCCTGGTGGTCCATAAACAGCGCTTACCATATAAACCACAGCAACAAGGTAGTCCATCTGAAGTGGGGTGAGAAAAGGTCCCTCATTCTGCCTCGGTCTTCCTGTGTCAAGACAAGCACAAGCTCTTTACTCTCCCCCTTCCAGACGCTGGGCACCTGCCCTGGCGGGCTGGGCCTCGGGCTCGAGAGCCCAGGGCTCACATCCACACCACGCAGCCCAGTGAGGTTATTCAGCCCCCGAGCCCAGGTCGCTGCTAGACTAGGTAGTGTGCAGAGCCTCGACTGTGGGGACAAGAGCATCCGTACCCCTCACCCCAACTGGGAGTTCTGGATCTAGTTAGCAGTTCCCCAGGCTTGCTCCCCTGGGGCATTCGGGCGATTCTTGAACATGAAGCAGAAACCCAGTCTGAGGGGTGTCCATGCATCTCAGCCTCACCCGAAACCAACTCCAGGCCGATGTGATAAACATGAATTATGTTGAAAATCAATTCACCAAAAGGGAATTTTCGAAAAGATTGATTCATGGCCATTCGCCAGTTTCATATAATTTACTAATCTATCAACTTTCTGCTTTATAATGTTCTTTTCAATAATGTATCCTATGACTGATTATAGTCTTCTTAGATATGAACATATTTTTTCATAGTAGCAATTCAAGAAATGCTCATTTAATTAAGCATGCTAGAAGTGAAAAAATAAGATGGTAGGCCATGGATGGTCTTTGTGAGCACTGTCTTCGTGCATAAATATCTTTTGCAATATATTCTTGAATAAAAACAGTGTTTATTAAATATGTTATAACTATACTTTTTTAAAGATTTGTTTATTTATGCATACATAATGCTTGTACCCCATAACTGGGGTACAAGCCAGAGATGCGGACGGTGAGAGGCTTCACCAGAGACAGAGTGGGGAGCAGAACAGGCCGACTGACGAAGTACACTGCTGAGGGGAGCAGCAGGTGAGACAGGAGAGGTCTGCTGCACTATGTGGTCGCCTCCGGGGTGGGGATCGAACTTGCACTGAAGCAGCTGCAGTCAGCTTGCAGTGCTGCGTCTTAACCCATTGTGCCACCAGGGTGGGCCTGATTGTCTATATCTGAGAATGTTTATATACTTTGGAACGGTTATAAAGAGAATATATAATGAATACATGGATACCCACATAAAATACATTCTTATTTGCTAAATATATTTAAAAAGAATAATACTTTAAAAAACAGGGTCTTCAGGTGGTTCCCTGTCCTATACCTACCCACTCCACAGAGACTCCGGGTAAGTCTCACTTTCGGGTGCTTGCTTAAGCTGGCATTTTTCAAACCACTATGAAGAAAAGTATGTTCAGATCTCAGACTATAATCAGTCATAGAATCTACTTCCGAAAAGAACATTGTTAAAAAAAAAGATTCGATCAGTTACGCGATCAGACTATGTCAAACACCTCCAGCCAATCTGGTGAAATGCCAGTCAGTTCTTGTAGCATATACAAAAATAATCAGAAACATCATTTTATTTTCAAAGATAATTTCCTTCTAAGGTCTGTTGTTTGCTTCTGGGTATTCGTCATGTTTCTGCAAGGCCCCTGCATGATTCTTGAGGGCAGGGACCCAGGTCTTTAACGTGGAGCTCTCCTTCCAGGTGTGCTGTGTGCCCGTGCATACAGCAGGTGCTCATAAAAGCGCAGGGTAGTGGGTTTAGATCCATGGCAGCAGGAGCGAGGTGCCTTGGATCTAAACCCACAGCAGCAATGTCTAACTAGGGCTCGCTGCCCATCCATTGCCAATCAATCCCATTCGCTGATGAGGCTACCAGCTCTGAAAGGCTGAATCAGCAGGGATGGTTCCAGGGTCCACTCACAGACACCCCATTTCTCTAGTCACTAGCTGACTTCCCCGGGAGGCACTCTCAGGACTTTGTGTTGAAAAGATACAGAGAGGAGGCACCAAGTTCCCTCTGCAGGTCCAGCCCACGGCCAGCCCCTCTGTGTGCACCTGAGCTCAGGGGCCCAGCACCCACCTGTCTGGAGATGATGAGCTTCCCCAGCGGCATGGGGGCGCCATTTTCTGTCGCTATCCTCTTTAAGGTGGCGATGGCCTTTTCCTGGTTCCCAGACAGCACGTCGTACCTGGCACTCTCTGGCAGCCACTGTGGGGACAGGAGACCAGGCATGGCTGGTTAGGGCAGCACAGAACACAGGGTCCCAGCCACACGCTGGCATCTGTGTGTGGCATCTTTAAGGGTGGGGGGGCTGGGGATAGCAACACCCCAGGGTCCTTGAGAGAACACCAGAATGAGGCCAGCAGCTAAGTATCTGAGGAAACCATGAGATAGGAGCAAACAGTATCCTCAGCAGAGTGATCCACTCTGAGTGTACTTCTCAGTCACTTGGCGGTCCAGAATGGCTATTCCCACTCTGGGGGTTCCTGTCATTAAAAGGCTCTGCCCAGCCTCCTAGACCTGCCAGCCCTTATCTGGTCTTTGAAACCAGGCAGTGGCCCCAGCTGGCCATGGGTGGCAGGCAGCTGTGCCTCAGGGCTGGGAGCTGGGGGAGGTATGTTCCAGGTCACTTTCTATCCCTGACAGGGGCTCTGGCGCCCAGGCCTGGCTTCAAATGCTGGTTCTGCCCCTGATAATATTAGCTGTGTGACCTTGAGCTATAGCTTGACCTCTCTGTGCCTCCATTTCCTCATCTGTAAAATGGGAAGAGCCTCGTAGGCTGTTGAAAGTACTAAGTGGGACAGTGTTAGTGTGTTGGAATGGGCCGCCGCAGTGTTATTATCACTAGTATCTGCTGCTCCCCTTCCAGGGGAGGGGCGAGTCAAGACTGTCGTTCTCATCCCACCATCGTCAGAAATCTCACTCCCATGTCTCCAGAAATGATATCCTGCCTCTATTCAGCAGCAGCAGCTTGCAAACACAGGAAGAACTCAGAAGGCCCTTTAAGCCGAATGGAGTCCCAACCCCGACGGACTAAATAATAAACTGCTGCACAATGAAGCAGTGGCTATGAACAGCTGGCGTCAGAGAGCGAGAAACTTGGACTCAGGACATCGGGCCAGCTCAGTGCTCTTGTCTGTTGCTGTGTGGCTTGGACAGTTGTCACCCCCTCCAGATCTGTTTCCTCATTAGAAAAATGAGAATGTAGCAGAGGTGGCTATTGTCCATCAAATTCATACTTCCCTTTCCTTGGTGCAGAGTTGTCCTGGGCTGCCCAGCCAGGAACTACATTTCCCGCCTGCTCTGCATCTCGATGAGGCCATGGGACATAGCAAGTAAGCAGACTATCCTTGGCCTGTGGACTCAGGAAAAGAGTATGCATCTCCCCACCCTTCCTAAGTCTGCATGTGGAAGACTCCGAAACCCTTTAGGATGGCAGGCCTACAGGCTGGCGGGAACCTGGGCCTCGAATCACAACTGCCAAATAGGGGGCAGCCATTCTGGACTGTCAAGTGACTGAGAAGTACACTCCTAGTGGGTTGTTATTGATGCGGGCGCTTCATTATACTAGCTGATGTCCTCATACAGGGGTTCATCACATCTGACCTCCTATGACTACTGGGAGGAATAAGTATGATAATGCATGTGAAGAGACCAGCACAGAGCCTGCTACACAGTTAGACTCAGTAATTGTTAACCCCTTTTATCACTGCCAGTAATTATATGAGACCTGCCCACCTATAGGCTTATTTGGGGGCTCACAAACTGTGTTTCATGAATGTGTTATACACATGAAATGGTAAAAGTATTGTATGATCTTGTAGTTTATACATCACTGAGTTGGAGACATCACTTGAGGCCCTGGACCCAGACAGACCGGAAGCTAGACATTTAATCCTTTTTGACTCAAGTCATTTGAATTGGGTTTCTGTCACTTGCGACCTAACAGTCCTAACTATTTCAAGGTAGTCACCTTTAGGGGAGGACTTGTACGAGTGGAGCCAAGGCACCTCCTTACCCCCTGCCATTTCCCTGAAGGACACCCTAGTAGTAGTATTTTCTGGAGGAAACCCAGTAGCCCATACTAATCCTGGCCCTGTTCCTTTGTGTTTTTTCCTGACATTCAAAAAATAATCTTCAAAAGTGACTCTGGTCCCCCCACCAAAATACAGTGAACAGTAGGAGCCCAAGCAGTAAAGGCTGCGCTCCCCAGAAATACCTACAAAACACAGGATGGCAAAGAGGAGGAGCGGGACAGCCGAGAGGAGGAGCAGCCAGCGCCAGCCCAGGCTGGGCATCACAAACACCGCCAGGATGACCTCGAACACCGTCCCAATGGCCCAGAACACCTGGCAGAGAAGAATGGGAGCCAGTGAGGGGGGCAGTAGTGGTCAACACAGTGAGCAGTTTCTGGGTTCTTGTAGGCAGTTAGCAATGTGAATGGGGTTCCTTGGCTCAACAAGGTCAACAAGGCCCTCCTTTCCCTGGGGTCCATCTGGGGCCAGGGCTGCCATGCTGCCATCTCCCAGGGGTGCCATCCACCTGGATGTGCCTTCTGGAGTTGTGCAATGAGGCAGCTCTGGTTAAGGAAATCGATACAACTCTCATTGAATGAGGTCAGTAGGGTAGAGGACACGTGGATTTCTTGTCTACCGACAGCCATGTCCCTGGCCCAAAGATGCCCTAACATCTAAGCAGAATTGCCTTTTCCCTGCAAGCTGTGTATCTTGTTTATCTCTTTGAGCCCCTTTCGATTCTTCCCACCTTATTCTTTGCAAGGACTCCATCCCCTAACTTCCCCCTGGTGCGATCAGTGGGAGCCCACAGGAGATAGCAGAGACTGCGGTGTTTATCCCCTTGGTCCCCTCTCTTTTGGGCGGATGTGGGCTGGTTGCACCACCAGCAAACAGGGATGAAGGTGAATGGGATGAGGTGGGGGTAAGAATATGGTCCACTCAGGTCATACCACTTAGCGCCAGCTCTCGGCTAAGTTCCATTTCCGGTTCGAGAACAACATGGCACCTTCCTGCCACCATTCTTTTTAAAGATTTATTTACTTATTCATTGAGAACTGGGGTACAGGCCAGAGATGCAGGAGGTGGTGAGAGGATTCACCAGAGACAGAGTGGGCAGCAGAACAGGCCGACTGACAAAGTACACTGCTGAGGGGAGCAGCGGGCGGGTCAGGAGAGGTCTGCCGCGCCATGTGGGTCACCTCCTAGGCAGGCGGGAATCAAACTCATGCGGAAGCGGCTGGGGAGAGCTTCGTAGTGCTGTGTTCTAATCAGCTGTGCCAGCAGGGAGGCCCCCTACCACCATTTTTGTAAGGGATGGTAGCTCGAATTTTCTGCCTGATTGAATTTAAGCAACTATGTTGAGATGGACAGAACCGATCCTTTTATGGTTTTGCGTTCTGAGCCTGCCTGTGGCTCAAGATACCTGAGAAGCTTCTATCAGAGAGTGACCAATCTCTAGAGGCCCAGACCCCCTCCTTACCTCAATTAGCAAAATGCACTTTGCTCTGGCTTTCATGGGGAGGAACTCAGCATACAGTGTCACCCTAGGAAAACAGAGGCAGAAAGGAGGTTAAGGGAAGGGCTCCACAGGAGACCGCTGCCGTTTTCTGAATTTCTACATCAATAGTCCTCTGGGTGGGATCTGTGAACCACCCTGGCTCTACCCTCTGTCTACTGTCCCCTCCCTTTGACTCCCTCCGTGCTGGGACAGCACGCTGGGAGAAGGGGACTTGTCAGCTGCTCCCATGTGCCACCTTGCATTTTGCTTGGGAGGGGAGGGTTTCTCTTCATAGCTTTTGCCTACACCAAGCATCTGAGCCCTAGGCGGCTCCATGTTACTCTTCAGGCTCCTCATAAGGAAGGTTGGGTAGAAGGAGGCTGATTTCCATGAATTCTTTTGAGGCATAGATGATGCTCATCTAGATGTTTCCCGTCTAGGTTTCCTGGGGTCCCTGAACTAGACCAAGCTGCCCACCGCCCAGCTGTTAACGAATGGCTCATGGCTCTCTGAGCAATGGGGGGAAAGTCTTACTACACAGTGTAAATATTTTAATATTTCCTCTCTGTCCTGGTATCTGTCTTTCTCTTCTTCCCTCTCTTCCCTTTTCATCTCCCGCTGTTTGAACCCCTAATGAGATCATATTTAAGGATTTTGACCACCATTAAGAAAATTCAATTTACAAATAAGTATTTCCATGTCATGTCATTCTCTTACACATAAAGTTCATCCTATGCACAGACCATATTTTCCTTAATAATTGCTATCTTTTATTGAGAACCTACTGTGTACCAAAAATTCTTCTAGCTGTTTTACTCACACTTTCTACTAAGTCAACATTGCAAGTCAATGAGGGGAGGTGATTGTAATTTCTATAGATGGAAATTACCTCCCATTTCCATCTGCTATATCTATATTACATTTATAACAAATGTCAGAAAACATCAGTTGGCTGGCATCACACAGCTAGTGAGTTGGTGAGTAGAAATGCCTCAGCTATCTGCATTATACAGCCCGTTAATCACTACCCTACTTAAATGGCCTCACAAATATAAACAGTAATTCAATAAATATTTCAAGCTGAAGTCTTTGTCTTTATAGGGTTCTCTAGTACTGGATTTCTGTAAGTAGGATTTGAGTCAAAAGGTATGCAAATTCTGAAGCTTTTTGTATCTATAACCTATGTGATTCTCCAAAATGTAGTTCCAATTAATATTCCTATAAGCACAACTATCGACAAAACCATTAGCAATGTTATTGATGCAGCTCTGATAATGGAGACCAACATAATAGTGACTGCTTAAAATTGTATGATATCCAATGGGGGCGGGGAGGAGGGAAATGCACGGGATTATGGTGATGGCACACGGGTGACTTGGAGATGGGAAACCCGCAGGGATTACAATTGAGATGGAAAAAAAAATGTACAAAATGATGTAAAAATAAACTTTTGTAATAAAAAAATTGTATGATATCCTCCATATGTTGTGCTTATTATTATTTTAAAAAGTCAACCATGACAATAACATAATACAATAAGAAAACTGTTCACCTCTCCTCCACCAAACTGAAGTCAAATGACCAATGACGCAAACCTGGACAGTAGCACATTCTAAGTAGGCAAAGCTGCTCCTATCCTTAGACGTCAAGGGTGGTTGGCTTTTGTTTATTTACTTTTTTGTTTCAGAAGTAGCACACATGTACATTCACATTGTAAAGCAACATAACAATACGCAAACATACAACATACATGACTTTTTCCCTTCCCCACCCTCCTTTCATCCCCTTCCCCACATGTCATAACTACCAGCAGTTTCCAACTCACTCTATGTAAATAAATAACTGAATTTCAACATCTTTTGTCTTCCCCCTCCTCCTCCCTTCCCTTCATTCCTTCCTTTTCTTAACACATGAACATCCGTCATTGACCCGCCCATGGGAACGCCCGGGCTTATGGCACCTCACTGGCTGCCTGTCCAACTTTCAATAACCGAGGCCTGAAGCTCTTCCCCGCGTCTTTCTCTGGTCACAAAAGCTAGCTTTGCTGAGCGGTGTGACATCCCAAGTACCGAAGAATTTAAACTTCCCAGGAGCAATTCCTAACAAATGACAGCTCCGGCATTCCTTAGTGGGGTAATTCGTAGTTGTGTGACGCAGCCTCTGGCATAAACCATTTGCCCTCGAATGTCTGTGTCAGAAAGGATCTGCTTGCAACAAGCAGCTTGAGAATCTTCACATGTTCACAAAAGTAGCTTGACTGCACTCTTTCTTAACCGCTGTAACCCTATTGACTAACACGTAGATAATTTTTGGTTCCTTGTTTTTGCATCCCAAGCCATGAGAAACACCTTTGCTATAGTTGCTGGGGCCCTACATTGGGCTATGGTGTATAGCAGCTCATTAGGAAAACAAGCTGTTTGATCTTTACCCAGAGGATGGTGATTATTGCAATCACACTGAAGAAAAAGAACCAGCGATGAAATCAGCCATGCCAAGAAGCAGCTGATCTGAGCACAAACAAATTCTCCCTGCAAATAATTGCATCTATAGAACTTGGCAATTAGAGATTTGCCATTTGGATCACAGGCTTGCACGGAAATGGCCTGTGATCTCAAGTCGGGATTTGTTTGGTTCCTGGAGGAGGCTAACGACAGGCTGTGAGCAGCTTATTCTAGACATTAATCCAAAGAACCTTCTGAGGCAGGTTCCACAGTAGAACAAGTGGGGAGCTACCCAGCACATGAGTCTTTAAGAGAGGCTAAGGCACTCCTCCAAGGATGCCCCCATGTCCCCTGATGCCACTTCCATTGCCGCCTCTGGATAAGGAGGGTTTCTGCTGAGGCACAGAGCACCCTCTACTGGAAAGATCAAGAATAAACCATCAGCCCTGGTGCCAACTGTCTATTGTATATTTTTGTGAGATGATAGTTAATTCTTGCATTAGAGGTGATCCACGATTTTTGGGTGCTTCTTTACATTTTCTAAATTAAAAAAAAAAGTGTGTTGTTTGTCATGATAGAAACAGAGTTAGATTTAACTCCTTGGAGGAAAGTCTCTTCTTTCTTGAATTTCTCTCATCGACAGAAAATGTAGTTGATTATCTGGCATCCTACTTGTGATGCCTCTTTCCTACCTTAACTAATGGGAAGAGAGACTGTTCAGAATGCCCCTCCTGACTTCCAGAATCTTCTCCAAGTCAGTCCCAGTGGATGTTAATAATTGATGAGGACCTTCTGACTACATATTCAGAACCCTTTAGCAAAGTTTGTTTACATACTTAAGTAAGAACTTTCACATTAGACAGACCTGGATTTAAACCCAGTTTCTCCATGCGGTAGATAAGTTGGCTCCTAGCCCCCTTTCGTCCCTATGTCCATTGCAGTGCGACTTTGCAGCTCATTCCATCATCCATGACCCTTGATTCTGGCTGATCTGTGACTTGCACTGAACAATCGAATGTGACAGTGTGCCAGTCCCACGCTTGGGCCTCAAGAGACCTAGTGCTTCTGTGTGCCCAAGGGATCATGTGCTCGGCGAGGCTGCTGGAGGAGGAGAGGCTTATGGAGCGGAAGTGAGTCTGCAGTCGGGCTGGACCAGCCAGCCTCCATGCAACACTCCTGTTGACAGAAGACACGTGAGCAAGCCCGCCAAACCAGAAGAAGAAAACCACCAAGGGGCAGCATCATGAGTTAGAGAAACCATTTTTGCTTTATACTGCATGTGTCTGGTGGTTTGTTACAAAGCAAAGGGCAAGCCTATGGAGTACTTAGTGACCAGAGACCTTAAGCTAGTCATTTATGATCTCTGGGTTTCAGGTGTTTTTCATGTGTAAAGAAGGGATTGTGGGTAGAATAAGGCATTGTGAAGAGAACACTTAGCTGCATGCCCCACCCTTGAGGTGCTTCTTGTCACCTCGAAGGCATGCTGGGGGGAAGGAGGAAGGCACAGGACATGGAAGAGAGAGGGGCTCCTTATCAGTAATATAATATGTATTTCTACTAATAATCTAGGAGTTCTGATGGCTGAACTTGTAACAATTAGACAACAAATCTTATTTGTTTGGTTTTGGAAGGTGCTTTTGTTGGGCTCTGCTAAAGGAATGGAAACTCTTCATTGTCTTTAACTACATAAAAATATCAACTCAGTGTTTCTGAACAATGCACTTAGGGGAGCCATTTTTTTAACCAGATGACAACCTTGAATGAATGAAAATATGATTATTTTCATGTAACAGCTGGCATGGGAGTGCTGGGGAGCCAGTGATTGGTTCTCTGGGGTAGCTCCATCTTTCTGTAACTTTTTGGTTTTTATTTCTTCTCTTCATGGATAAAAGAACTATAGAATAGGTAAGAGACTAGGTTTGGAGCATTAGGTGATGCTTTTTTGATTTTTAAATTAAGTGAGATTTGATTTTTTAAAATTATTTCTAAGAAAGGCCTATATCAAAAAGACCAGAAAAAAAAAAGAAGTACTGGTGAAAGCATGGAGAAAAGAGAGCCCTCATACATTGTTGGTGGGACTGAAGACTCTATGGGAAACAATCTAATGGTTTCTTGAAATATTAGAAAAGATGTGCCGTGTGATCCAGCAATTGCACTCCTTGGTATCTACCCAAAGAATGCAAAAACAGTAATTCCAGGATGCCTGCGCACTCCTGTGTTCACTACACTACAATTTGTAGGATCTAAGCTCTGGAAACAACCCAAGTGCCCAACAAAAGATGACTGGATAAGAAGTATGGTGTAGACACACAGGGAACACCACGCAGTTAAAAAAAAAAAAATCTTGCCATTCCCAGCCACATGGGTGGAACACGAAGGGATTATTCTCAGTGAATTACAGGATGTTTAAATCCCAGCTCAACCATTGGCTGGCTGTGACACCTTGGGCAAGTGACTTAACTCCCTTAAAGTTGATTTTCTTATCTGTAAGATGGGGAGAATAATGTCCATATCTTAAGGTTTTGTGAGTTTTTAAGTGCTCCTGTGTAGAAAGCTCACAATGCAGTGCCTGGAGTACAGTAGTGTAACAGGTACAGGTTTCATGGTCTCCGCCCCCACTCCAGATGCTGGGACTCCAAATCCCATCAGTACCAAGGAGAAGCACGCCAGGACGTGAGGGCAGAGCTGAGCAGCCAGGTTGGGATAAAACCGGACATGTGGGCTCTGGGGGAGCTTCACTGGTGGTTCGCAGCTGATCATTTTGGCGCTCAATCGGTTTTCGGTTTTCAGCGTGCGGGTGGAGTCCAAGTCAGCAGAACTGGTAGGACATCCTAGTTAACCTGTGCCTCTCTCCCTCTTTCCCTGAGTTATTCCTTTACCTTTCTCCTTATAAATAAATCCATTATTTAACCTTTTGAGTGTGTCCATAATATGATTGAATCGTAAGCATACTGGTGAGGGCCCGCAGACAGGCAACCCCAATTCACATTGGGGTGCCCTGTAACAGTAGCAGTAGCTCAGTAAATAAACAGAAAGCTACAGTAAGTGTTCAACAAAAAGGCAGCTAACTGGAGAGGCGTGACATGCGCAGGCTGGAAGAGGGAGCAGGTGGACAAGCCAAGGGCCCGGTGACACAGGAAGAAAGCGTCAGGTTGCCCAGTCACTCCGTGTTTCAGTCCTCTGCCCCCAGTGTCCGGCCCTCTCTCGTGGACACCTTCCCTCGGGCTGTTTTAGGTGTTTTTCTCTCCTCTAGTACTCCACCGTCACAGTCCCATCTGCTTACGATCTTGCAGAGGCTCCGCAACATTTTCTGGTCTGCTGATGGCACCCTCTGCTTTCCAGCGCCATTAAAGGTTTATTCAATTTCGTATACTTTTTATGTCACTTCCATTAAAAAATTGGAGGAAAGAAACATAGGAAATAACACTTCTCATTCCACCGTGTCGCACAAGCATCACTATGTACATTCTGATCATTTTGCTGCTCTATTCCCCTTCCCAGGGGAAGACAATCCAGGTGGCTGCTTGCAGACTGGCGTGCTGTCCTCTACCTGAGCCACCCTGGGAAAGGAACGCAGAGACTCACTGAAGTCTGGCCAGAGGGGAAAGCGGACTCTTCCCAGCCAATGCGTGGGGAGTGGGGCAGTGCCTTTGTCTGCAGGAATTCCTGGGGCCAGGCCAGAGGCTGCTGCGTTGGCCACAAGCCCTGCCAGCCTGGATTTATGAGTTTGGCTTAATGGCCTCTGCCTCAAGTTCTGGTGGTTTCTCAGCTCATCCCTGGTCCAGGAGAACATGTGAAACGCCTGTTCTGCAGAACCCAGGGCGAGTTGCTGGAGAATAAGGGAGGAGAGGACTGGAGCGGAGACTGCTGGGCCCTTGCAGCCTCTGCACGACAGGATGTCCCCAGATTTGTGTGTGTATGAAACCCCTGGTGCAGCCCCCTCCCCGGCCCCCATTCATCTGCTCTATCCACACTACACACTGGGGCCACTGTCCATCACACGGCCTCTGAGCTCCTCACCAGCTCTGTGCTGACACTTACTGACCACTCTGCCAGGTGTGGGCCCGAACCCTTCACAGTCGTTGTCCTTTAATATCATAACGGACCCCATGAGGCAGGCATCGTATCACCCCAGTTTTAGCGATGAAGCAACTGAGGTGTGGGAAGTTGCCCAGTGATGATGGCAGAGCCAGACCCAAGCCCAGGTGCTCAGAGCCCACCGTGGAAGCGCAGGGCTTCAGCACGAGCATGGCCCTTCCAGATAACCCTGCTGTCCCCACCCAGTCGTGACACTCAGCAGGTGCAAGATAAACGGCAGAGCACTGCTCTGTCCTGCTGCAGACTTTCTCCAGGCGGTTGTAAGCGGATTCCTTATCTCCAGTGTCGCCTGCCCACCGCTGCCAGATTAATACTTCTAAAGGAGCTCCCCAGTTCCAGAACACTCAGTGGCTCCCCGCTGCCTGTAGACGACCCCTTTGGTCTGGCATTCGAGGCCTTTATACCTTGCCCTGGCTTACTGACCAGCCTCAGCCTTCAGGCCTTACACACCGCAGCCTGACATCAGCCTCCCTCAGACTCAGCTGCAGTTTACCCTTCACATGCACTTTCCTTCCTGTGGAGCACCCCACACCATCCCCACCCCTCTCTGGGTCTTTGCGGAGCCTGTACATGGATTTGGATGTAGCGGCACAAGATACGATGCGCACCAGGCTCTGGGGGCTGACCAGCCTGGTCTCTTCCTCCTTGGGCAAGTCCCCTCACCTCTCAGTTTTCCTAGCTGTATCATAGGGGTTAACACTCAGATTTCCCTCCTGGGAAAATTTCACGAGTTAATGAGATGATCAGGATAAATAGTTTCAAGTGGCACCTGCCTCCTATACACTCAGTGTTGGTTATCGTCATCACCATGTAGAGTACGCGCAGCACACTTTTTCTAGAAAGGGGCCAATAATAAATATTTCAGGGTTCCCCAGTCTCCTAGGATAGAGCTACTTCTTCCTACAGCTGGGACTACTCTCAGCATTTGAAACAGCAGCAACAAAACAATAGCCAAAAGGCACAGGGCTCGCGCCAGCCCCTGCCCCCTGCAGGGGTCAGAGGCGGGCACCAGGCGGCGTGGAGCGCGGTGGAGCACCCAGACATTGCGCAGAGAAACTCGGGCCCTCACTCCAGCTGCGCAAGGTGTGATCTGGGCCGCGGGGTTTCCGCTTCCCTCGCCTGCAAAAGCCAGGTTCCAATCACACAGTGGCACGCCCCTCCCGTGAGTCTAAGAAGCGCTGACCATGCTTCTCTGGACATAGCTACTGTTTTCACCATATCAAAGCGACAAGCTTGAGCTCTGGATTTGCCCAGTTGTTGTGAATCCGGTTGTTGTCACTCACAACGCTCCCCTCTGAGGCCAGAGCAGGGTTTTACTTACGACTGAGGGACCCCTCCGATCCCGAAGCCCACCAGGCCCCGGAGCACCAGGATCCAGCTGTACACGGGCGCAAAAGCACTGAGAACGCCATAGTAGAGGGTCCAGAGCACGCTGATCTTCAGCCCCTGCGGAGAAGGAAGACGCGTCACCGGGCTTCTCGGCGCCGCCTGCTCCCACGGTCCTCGCACGGTGCAGCCGCCGTGGTGGCAGGCGCTGAAAGGGCAGCTCGAACACCGAGGGGCCGGGGGCTCACGAGGGGCTGATGTCAGCCCTGGGTGGGCGTGGGGAAATTGTGGGGCATTCTTGGCTGGCACTTAATAAGCCAGGCCCAGAGGTAGCAGCAGTCCCATGATGCATGAGACCCTAGACTGACCCTCTGCCCCGGACCATCTCCAGCCTTCCCACCTGCCTGTCCCGCATCTGAAAATTCTGTTTAGGATTTCCTGTACCTTGACCTTCGCACTATTTACAAGTAAACTGGATTCCAGGGACATCATTTGAATATACTTAATTATTCAGGAATGCAACTTCCAGGTAAATCAAAGGAAGATTGTACTGTTTTACCCATAAACTTACAAAATTGTTCATCATGTCAGTGGAGCACAGTCACTAAGGGACATTTAAGTACACCCTTCAGGTCCTCCCTGGTGGCTGGAGCAAGGGGTTATGTCTCAGCACTGTGAAGCTGTCCACAGCCACTGCTGCCTGAGTTCGAACCCCGGGCATGGACCAGCTGAGCCACATAGCACAGCAGACCTCTCCTGTCTCGCGGGCTGCTCCCCTCAGCAGTGTATTCCAGTAGATCTGTCTGTTCTGCTCCTCACTCTGTCTGGTGAATCCTCTTAACCCCCAGACTTCTGGCCTACACCCCAGTTCTTATATGCATAAATAAATAAATCTTAAAAAAAAAAAAAGCACACCCTTCCATTCATGGGCCTCTATGGCTCTGTGTGAATAGTCACACATTTTATTCATCACTTCTTTCTAAAAATTTCTCCCCCATAGCATAGTTAGAACATTGTAACTTTTTTTTAATTACACGAATGGTTATTTTATTACATCTTTGAAATTATTTTTGGATACTGTAGGGCTAACATTTTTATAAGATATTTTAAGTAAGGGGGACATTGTATTTGAACGGTAGGGACACAAGTCTGTGAATTGCCTGTGGAGACTGAGAAAAAACTAAGGAGCATGTTACAGTCCTTCATAGGGCAGAACTCAGATCTCATAGGAACTTTAGATTGACTTCCTGAGAACAGGCCTCCAAGGTCTACAGGGTAGATTTGATCTGCTGCCCTGCTGTGGACCCTGTGGAGAAATGCTGTGAAACATACTGACTTCGGGTTTAGAAATTTAAACTGAATTAAGAGGGGCTAAGGGGTACACTCTTAGGCAGGGGCCAGGATATTTTAAATCATTTGCATCGTCTTGCAAGAAAGTGATTTCTCTTTCATGTCCACCTTTGATCCTCTGATGATGTCCAAGAGAAAGTGCCAGGGGTGCTACTCTATCTTCAACTTTTAAAACCACCTGCTGACCTCCCTGACTAGTGGCAGGCAGGGGCAACCGTGACCTTGGGGACTCCAAGGGACAGCGCCTTGTTTTCATTGCATTTAGTTTTGCAGATATTTCCTATGTAGGGCAATTGCTATGATTTCTCCTTTTGGAGTCTAAAATTTCCTTTTCAAAAAACATGCATCTAAGTTAAAAAAAAAAAAAAAGTCAAAGCAACACCAACATCCTGCAGTGAGGAAGGGCATCAGTATTAAGGAGAAAGATGACCATAGCCTTGAGACCCGGGCCTTACTGTACCTTGAGGAAACCTCAGGTTCAAGACCTTCTGGCCTGGCTTCTGTGATCTCATTATTATTGATGCACTCAATGTATCCCTGGGGGCAGCAGCTTTCTGTAACTTTGCTGCACCCAAATTAAAGAAGGTCTACAGACATGGTGAATCTGGAAAGGGTGTTGCAGCCATTAGGAAGGTTGGGATCTTTCAGAGTGCAAAGTGATTTTAGAACAGGAAGTTCCCTTGGCTTGACTTCCATGAATGGGGAATCATGCGTATTTGGGCTAAGGAAGAGAATGGGGAATCATGCGTATTTGGGCTAAGGAAGAGATTCTTGTGAAAAATAAACAGCAAATTAAAAACAAATAGATTGATATCAAGAGAGAGATTAAGTACATGAAGGAATAGCTGGGGCAGGAATTATCAAAGATTTTGGAGCCCTGGACCCACTGCAATAACAGTAAAGCAAATTTTCTGCCCCACACTGAGGAAGGAAGGAAATTAGTACCTGCCACACGTATACTGAAGTCCTTCCTATTGGCTTTAGTCAACTTAATAGAGATTCTCTGACTCAGAAACAGGATATAATTAGCGGCAGAGAAAATAGAAGTAAGAAGGGAAACAGCAGGACAAGAGGAGAGGGGAGAGCGAGGGCCCCAGACGGAGGCGCTCGAGGAGGTAAATCATCCGTGCGACCACTGGCCCCATGCCAGGCCACCAAGACAGGCACGCTGACCTGTCCCGTCCGTCACAGCACTTGGCAGCTGGCTCTGCACCTGCCTGCTGACGCCAGACTGTCCAGCTGCCCAGAAAACAAGGACCAGCAGTCCTTTGTAAGTGTACTGTCCTGGCGATGACAAAGCCTCGCATATGGCCAGGAAGCCCGGTCCAGGCAGCCCCGGGACACTCCGGTAATGTCCCCTGAGCCTTTAGGTGTCTCATTAACTACACCTGTCATCCTGCCAGCACCTGCTCTGCCGTCCAGGTTGTAGGCTCCCTTCCCCGCCCCCCACCTGCCCTCCCTTCCCTCTGTGTCCACGTTCATTTATTGAGCAGCCCCTGTGTGCCAGACTCCAGAGACAGACCGCAGGTCTGTACCTTCCCTGACTGGTTCCCTCGGCCAAAGCATGTGCCTAGTGTCTGCTGTATGCCAGATGCTAAATGTGCTGAGAGATATGATTTGTTCATTCATTTATTCATTTTCTAAGTATGAAACACCTGCTCTGTGTTCAGCACTACAGGTACTGATATGATTCACTCACTTGTTCCATGTGCATGCACTGAGCACTTTTTGCCTGCCTGGCAGTCTATGCACTGATATTCATTTTTATTCTTCTTTAAATGAATGTGTCAGTTGTTTGCAGATCTATATAACTTTGGGGTTTATTTTCACCCCTCCCTATGGGCAAAAGCTTCACTCAGCCTCCACAAAACTAATTAGCCACTTATTCTTCCATTCATGCACCAATGGCCTGCTGTCTGCTAGGCACGGGTCTCTGTCCCTACAGGGCCGCACGGCAGCCAGGCACTCTCCCTCTCCGTCTGTCCTTCCTCTCCCTTTCCTGCCATTTGTCTCGCTCTCTCCAATTCTCACTCTGCTCTTTGCTAAAGCTGTGACTCACACCTTCCAGAAACTAAGGAGTGGGAAGGTGGATGGGGGCAGAGTTTAGAGAGCTCATGTCCTAAGGCCAGAGAAATCCCCTCTCGGTTCACAGGAAGGAAGAAGAAACAGCTTCGGTTCTTTTCGCCAGCCCCAGAGAGATCTTTTCCAGTGGACCTCTCCAGCCCCTAAGCCAGCCGAGATCCTCCTCGCTTCAATGGCCCTGGTGAGCTTCCCAAACTTGCCGCCTCCAGCCCTGCCGTAGCCATGTCTTGGCATCTACGGGGCACCATCTCCCCAGGGCCCGCTGCCGGGTGTTCCTGTCCCGTCCTGGTTCCTGTTGGATGGGCTGCAGCTGCAGACTGTATCCTGCCCGCATGGTCCAAATACTCATCCGCGGATTGAGATGGCTGCAGGTCAAGCCGCTGGCGTCCAGACTCGTAAGAGGGAGCCGCGCTCTGCCGTGCAAACTGGCTGGCCTTGGGTAAGTGGCCCGTCACTGTGGCTGTGTCATCTTCTGTGACACCGGAGGGACACCAGTGCCTATTCAGCGCGGCTGCTGCCACGGGCTGGGTGAGTGACGTCTGCGTGGTGCTGGCCAGGGTGGTCAACACACCAGGCACTGCTTTACTTTCAGTCCACAGCCTGCTCTTCGCAGTGGACCTTGCCCACCGCCTACCCAGCATCCGCCTCTCCCTTCTTCCTGCCTAACAGCCGTCTACGTTTGCTTAGCTATCTACCTGCTCCCAGCTCCAAGGGAAGAGTTTTAGATCTCTAAGCCAATAGATCTCAGAGAAAGGCCCCTGGGCCAGCAGCACCAGCGTCACTGGGCACTTGTTAGCGATGCCATCCCTGCGATGCCAGCTGGCAAGTGTCTTGTGCCTGGGGTGTGCCTGGCATTGCACAAGTCCTTCACTTCCCTGACCTTGATGGTCCTTCAGGCTAGATGGCGTTTGTTTCCTTTATACATATGAAGAAAGGAGTGCTCAGAGAGGTCAACTCACTTGCCCAAGGTCACACAGCCAGGAATGAACTCAGGGCCACATGACTTCAGAGCCAAAGGCCTTAACCGTTACATCACCCTGCCTCTGGAGGAACCACAGGCTGACAGGAGAGTCCAAGGAGAACAAGAAAGCTGCTGGGAATGGCCTGGCCCTGCCCCCAAGCTCAGTCTTGCTGGGGCTGAGAGGTGAGCCACTTTAGGACCAGAAAGCTGATGGATGTCTTTCTCTAACCCTCTATGACCCCAAATCTGGTGTAAGGAGACTGGGCAGGCACCACTAGAGTTTTCTACATTCTGAGCTACACAGCACAGGACCCCTCTGGGCCTGGGTGATTTCGAGAGCCCACAAATACTCTTCCCCTCGCACGTCAGTGTAGCTCCTCACTTGACACAGTGAAGCCTCCCAAGTGCTCAAGCAGCCCAGGTCTGGCTACTCGTGAACATCATCACAGCGAGGACCCCAGTGACATTGGGCGGCAGTCGGGGGCATTCTTACTGTTTTCCGGCCATACTGATCCGAGATGTTCCCCCAGAGGGTGGAGCTGGACATCATGCCGACGAAGACCACCTGCGTGGAAAGAGTTTCTGTGAGTGACACGGAGCAGGCAGAGGCCCAGCAAACCAGGCGTGAGATGTCACAGCCCCGTTGTAACAAGAGGTAACGTTTGCTGAGATCCTGCTGAAGGGTCAGCAGTTCTCAGCACTACTTAAACCTCACAGCAAGCCAAGGGGCGGGGCTGTGATTATCCCCATTTTTCAGATCAGGGAACTAGATTCCCAGCTGGGGGGTGTAAGGGGAGGGGTCAGTGGGGTCACCTGGCCAGGCTCACATAGGTAGAAGACTGAATCAGCCAGTCAGCTGCAGGGCTAACATTCTAGAAATTCCTCACCCATACTGCTATGTCCTCTCCCTTTGCTAAGAGAATACCAAAGGTTTAAGAGAGAGTTTGGGGAGTAAAAATAACAGGAAGGGGCCCTCCCTGGTGGCACAGTGGGTGAAAGCACAGCACTGAGAAGCTAAAGCTACTTCAGCATGAGTTCAATCCCCGTCCCGGAGGTGACCCACATGGCTTGGCAGACCTCTCCTGGCCTGCCCGCCGCTCCCTGCAGCAGTGTACTTCATCAGTCTGCCTGTTCTGCTCCCACTCTGTCTCTGGTGAATCTCTCACCGCCCCTGCCCCTCTGGCCTGTACCCCATTTCTGTATGCATAAAAAAAAAAAAGGAAAACAGGCAGACTGGAGGTTGGGATGGGCACTGCAAGCTGTTATTGGGAAGAAGTATGCCCATTGTGTGCCAGGCAGTCACTGAACAGCGGGTGAGGTTTGGCTCATTGTACCCATTTTATGCATGGTGAGCCTGAGGCTCTGGGTGAAGAGAACTGACCAGTATTTCAGGACACAGAGGCCAGAGTCAGATCTTAAACCAGACAGATGGGCTGGGGTTTCATCGCCGAGTTTCTCTCCTCCCCTGGGCACCACCATGTGCCTTCTCCATGCTAAATCCTCACACACAGGACTGTGGCCCCAGAGCATTCCTAAGGGCAGGACCTGACAGTGGGCTCCAAACTGGGACTCGATTATTGTAAACAAATGGCCGAGTGCCCCCTGGCGACAGCAAGTGGAAGGTGTTGCAGAAACTCAAGTGGTGTCATTCACTGAGGTGTTGCAAAACTCCTTCAGTTACCTCCAAACTTTTTGTATGTGAACAAAGCTTTCATAGTCCTACCCATTCAGTAAAAATGCAAAGGAGCAATAAAATTGCCGCTGAACACTGCCTCATTTTAGCAATAAGTAATCATCCAAAATTCATGATGGAACTGGGAAACATACCCTGGCACTCCAACAAATTTACTTCTGCTTGACAATTTATCAAAATGAGTGGCATCTTGTTTTGATCCATTGCGTATTACTAAAAATTATCATGGCAACTCAATAAAGGAGAGAAATTTAAATGCTTAGAGACTTCTGATCTCAGAAAATTAAAAACAATAACTTAAGATGATTGTGACAAATATACTTGGTCACAAAAACAGAATATGGCAAGCTGACAAATTAAATGCTTTCAAACAAAGTACTACCATGAGCTAAAATTGCATAGAAAAACAGAATAGAAACCTTTCTTTCCAAGATGAAAATGAAACAATGCAAGTTTCCAAAGGCCCCTGAAGGCCTCCCTAGGGGCTTAGGGGTTAAGTCTCAGCACTGTCATCACTATCTTCTGAATTCAATCCCCAGGCAAGGAGCTGACCCACATGGCACAGCAGACCTCTCCTGTCTCACCTGCTGCTCCCCTCAGCAGGTGCTTATTCTGCTCCCCACTCTGTCTCTGGTTAATCCTGTCACCTCTTATACCTCTGGCCTACACCCCAATTCTTCTATGCAAAAATTAAACAAATAAAATCATACACATGTGACTTAAATGTTCAAAAAAAAAATTTCCCCTGAAGGGCTGGGGGTCTGAAGTCTGACTGCCGCTTACAGGCTCTGTGACTTTGGGTAAGTCAGTGCCCCTCTCTGATCCTAGATTCCTTCTCTGTAGAGATGGGAGCCATAATAGCCCCTCTTTCCTGGAGTTTACAGAAGGAAGGGGTGCAAAATCTTTAGCCTAGCATATCATGTATAAATGTTATGAACCAATGGCAAGTGACCAGGAAGACCCCACGTTGCAGAACACGGCCCTGTGGGTATGCTTTAGGGAGCACCAGTGAGAGGAGGGAGAAATGAGTACATTTATTCAACCCCTCTAGGTGTGAGGCATGGCATGTATGTTGTTGCACATCTGCAGAAAAAGACTTAGTCCCTGTTGTTATGGCAGGGGAGACCTAGGTCTCAAGGTCACACGTCTAGGAGGAAACCCAACCACAAGAACAAGTTCACATGCTCCGAAGCACCTCCAGTTGAGCTACACAATCTCAGGCCTGGCAGCCTAAGGCAACCACAACAGTTATCCATGGAAAAAAATAGCATTCTGGGAGGTGCTCCTAGTTAGCAATTCCTCCACCACTGGCTAGGTGGCCTTGGGCAAATGACTGAACCTCTCTGTGCCTCTTTTCCTCAGTGACTCACAGTCCCTAACTCACAGGGTTGTGGGTATTAAAGGTACCCGTATATGCGACATGCATTGTCTACAGTCTAAGTAGAAGTCTTTGCAGGGTGAGTGAGTGCTCCGTATACATTAGCTGTAGGGTGGATCATCATTATGGCCCCTCCCCCCAACCTGGCCATTGCCCGCCCTTTTAGAAGGTTGCAGCTGAACTCCTGACAAAAACTGAGGGTTCTACCTCAGTCCCCTTTAAGTCTTATCTACTGACCACCTGCACGCCAGGTGCTGTGCTGTCGCCAAGCCTCAAAGCACTCTGGTGTGGGAAGGACTGGTGTCAGTCCTTCCATACAGGAAAGTGAGGTCGAAAGGTTTCAGTGGTATGCTCAGAGCGTTCCAACTTCCCAGGATTAAGCAGGGCGTCTGGGACCCCTGGGGAGCTGCACCCCTAGGGTGGAGCTGAGTTGACTGCAAAGCTGGTGGGGAGGGAGAAAGGGAGGCTGAGGTTGGGGTATTTCCAGCCAGGGCTTAATTCTTTTCTGATGAGTCCCTGGCACCCACAGAAGAGGGGGGGACACCCAGCAGAACACCCCAGTGGCCAGTACTATACACAACAGGAGAAACACCCCACTGCCTACCGAGGTCAGCAGTGCCACCTGCCAGCTGGGCAGCCGCCACTCGCAGTGCAGCTGAGGCGCGAGGATGCTCAGGATCATCATTTCCATTGCGTCGGCCATCTGCAGGGAGGAAGTGGACATCTTCAGGCTAGGATGCCCAGCGCCTCGGGCAGATCATGGCCAAGTCCATGGCCCCAGAGAGCACAGAGAGGAAACACTTCTACTACCCACACGTCACAACATACAAAAGCTCTTGCAGTGTGGCACCATGTGGCAGTTGACAGGGGTTTACTATTCTCTGTGTGTATGTATATGTGTGCCTGCACTTAAGAGAATAGCACACTTGGGGCCGCCCTGGTGGCTCAAGGGGTTAAGTCTCAGTACTAAGAAGCTATTGGTAGCCACTGCAGCAGGAGTTAGATCTCCAGCCAGGGAAGTGACTCACATGGGCACACAGACCTCTCCTGTCTCCCCACTGCTCCCCTCAGCAGTGTGTCTCAGTAGCTCCCCACTCCATCTCTGGTGAATCCTCCCCCCCTCCCCATACCTCTAGCCTATATCCCAGTTCTTGAATGAATAACTAAATAAATCTTTTTCAAAACGTTAAAAAATAATAATAAACAAAATAGTGCCCTCTTGAAGAAAGTGGAAAAACACCTATCTCTAAAGGCTGAGAAAATCATTTTGATAGAGATGATCTTCTTTCATTCCACTGAAGACTAGTTTGTCTTTGGCTTATAGGCCATGGGTCTATGGGTAGAATTGCCAATAGATTTGAAAAGTGAGACCTTTTCATATGTTACCATGTATTGGGAAGCCCCAGTAACTAAGAGCTTTATTGGACTAGACAGACCCATGATGGAACAGAGTGAGCATTGAGAAGCAGGTCCAGGAAGGCAAGAGAACACGCTAGCAGATTAAGAGGGCTTTTCAAATTGGTGACGAAAATGATGCCGGGATATTGTTAGGTGCTCCATCACCACTGGCACTATTCACAAAGTCAATTTAATTTGTATTAACTAGATCTAGATGTGTAATTTGCTGGAGACAGAAAGGGGGTTTTACTGAGATGCCGAGCCTGTTAAAGCAGAAGGCACATTTTTGTCTGGTCGCCACTGATAATAAAATAAATAGCCCCCTCGCCCCCAAAGAGTTAAGAACATTTAATCAGCCAGAAGCCCCAGATCCTTCTGGAGGGCAACGTCCAGCCATACTCGGTACCGCTTCCTCCCACACCCTCTACCACGTACCTTCACTAAGACCAGGATCACTCAGCATGAACTTTGATTTAAGTAAACGCTCTATCTGTGCTTCCTTCGAGACCATGGGAACCCAGCTGAGCAGTATGGAGGCTCCTTGGAAATTGTATGTGACCTCACTGCCCCCCTAAAATACTTGCCCATGCCAGACCGGTGAGAACAGACAGCTTCCACTGAAACTTGCCGAACCCAATGGCTTCCACCGCATCTTCCACCATGAAAGTATCTGGGAAGGAGAAAAGGGGCGGGAGAGAGAATGAGTGCGTCTCGCACTTGTCCTAGTAGGCATGGGGTGAGGGGCAGGGAGTCCCGCGTCAAGCTCATAAAAGGCAGTGCATACAGCTTCTAGAAGTTAGCCTAGAAAAACATTCCAGCAAGTGTGAAGAGATACATTGCTATAAAGTCCACTGTATCATTGTTTACCAAGGAAACTGGAAGGGGTCCTCCCTGGTGGCACAACGGGTTAGGAGGCAGCTCTGTAAGCTGGCCATGGCCACTTCAGTGCAATCCCTGGCCCCAGAGGTGACCCACATAGCTCAGCAGACCTCTCCTGACCCGCCCGCTGCTCCCCTCAGCAGTGTACCTCATTCATCGGCCTGTTCTGCTCCCCACTCTGTCTCTGGTGAAGCCTCTCACTGCCCCTGCACCTCTGGCCTGTGCCCCAGTTCTGTGTGCATAAATAATAAATAAATCTTAAAAAAAGAAAAAGAAAGAAAACTGGAAGACCAGAATGTCTGTCTGCCGGAAGTTGATTAAATAAATTGTTATATTTATATATGAATGATTCTATATCCACATTATGAAATATAATCCAAGTGTTACAAAGAATCTGCAGATATACAAAGTTGTGCACAGCATATTGTTCTTTAAATGTTAAAAACACAGCAAGATGGACAATGAAATATTTTGTATGGTTCTATCCTCAAAAATGTGTGTGGAGGGGAACTATGGATTCATGTTTACACACAGGATGTCAGCAGAACTTTTTTTTTAGATTTATTTATTTGTTTATACAGAACTGGGGTACAGGCCAGAGGCTCAGGGGTGGCAAGAGGCTTCACCAGAGACAGAGTGGGGAGCAGAACAGGCAAATCGACGAAGTACACTGCTGAGGGGAGCAGCGGGCGGGGCAGGCGGGAATCAAACTCATGTGGCTTTAGCTTCTCAGTGCTGTGCTTTAACCCGCTGAGCCACCAGGGAGGCCTGGATGTCAGCAGAACTTAAATGTGTGGTTTCATTATTGTGGCCTTTGGAGACAGGAAGGGAACAATCTCATGAGACTTTAAATTCGTTCCTTTAATAATAATTTGCATAGTCTGGAAGCTACTTTTTAAAGGCAAAGTTGTATTGATGCTGGTGGGAAGATGTCCAGGCTCTACTAAGTGAACAGGGTGATTTAAGGAGAGATGTGAGCCATAATAGTCTTCCTGATAAATTTCTATGTGTGTGCGAGCCACACAGGAGAATTGAGTGTCCGCAGACTGTGAACAGTGTCCTTTTGAGGATAACACCTCCTTTCTGACTTTGTACATTTTTATATCGGCATACTTTCCAAATGAGCACAGGGGAAAAGAATGCTAAAGGTTAAATACAATGTGGTATGTTGGATCTTGTCCAGGAATAGGAAAAGTTGGTGAACTTTGAGTCAACTCTGGAGTTCAGTGACTAGGACTAGGCCTGTGTGAATTTCTTCGTTTTGACAAAAGGACTTGGGTTAGGTAAAATATTAACTTTAGGGGAAGCTGCATGAAGGGCATAGGAAAAGTGCTCAACTATCTTTTCAACTTTTGGTAAATCTGAAAGGATTCTAAGATAAAAAGTCAACTAAAAATGAAAATTGTAAGGTGTATCCCCTACAGATGTGGGGTACTTCTGTGGGCTGCCTCGGAGACTCTTAGCTCTGTGGGGAGTGACCATCATTTGGGTATTTCCAGCACAGGCCTCTTTCATCAGTAATAATGAATAATAATAATCTTCTCCAAAGTGTGAGCAGGTGTTAACCACACCTGCAGGGGCTAGCTTCCTCCAGCAAAAATATTGGGGGGAGGGTTTGCTTGGGGCCCTGCACTGATTGATGAGCATTATCTCATTCAGTGTCTGTCACAGCCGTGGGATGTAAGACCCAGCCAGGGCATGGATTGCTCATGGAAGGTTCCAGAGCCAAGCCAGACGGGCCTGATGGCATTGCTCCTCGCCACTGCCTCTCTAGCTCCCCAGTCGCTGCTTCCTCAGCTCAGCCAAGACTTGAGTTCAAGTCACTGACCCTCTCACGATGGGGATCTGGGGTCTTTCAGGGATCATGGAAAGTATTTGCCCACTGGCACCAGGTTGTCAGCGGAGCCCAGGTCCCACAGCCCGGCTGCAGATCTTTTGTTTGACTAGCTCCACCCCAGCACGCACAAGGCCCTGGGCAATATTGTGGACTCTGAGCCAGAGTGCCTGGGGGGTAAGTTCAGCTGGGCTAATTTCTATCTGTGAGACTCTGGGCATCTTTCTTCACCTTTCTGGGCTTCAGTCTCCTTTCCTGCAAACTTGGGAAGGTACCATCACCATCACCATTACCACCACCACCACCTCCATTGTCATTGTCATCCCCACCACACCACCAACATCACCACTGCCATCACCACCGCCACCACTACCTCCATCATCATTGTCATCACCATCACCATGATCACCACCACCACCACCCCCAACTCCACTATCACAGTCATCATCCCTATCACCACCGCTACCATCATCACCAGCACCATCACCTCCATCATCGTCACCAGCACCAATTCTACCATTGTCACCACCACCACCACCATTGTCATTGTCCTCATTACTGGTGCTGCCATCCTCAGCTAAGTGTTAAGCTGCGATGCTGACTGGCAGGGACTGCAACGTAACCTTAGCTGCTGAAGTAAGCTACTCTTCTTGAGCCCTCCCAGTGCTGCTTTCTGCCCCTTTAGCTCCCTCTGACGTGCCACTTGGGGAACAAATCCTGGCATTCAGAACCCCTGACTGTCCTGAGCCGACGCCCCCACTGCAGTGCCCCCTCACCGTCAGTGGGATTGGCAAACTCCTTGGGCACAGCCGCCCCATCATCCAGTTCGACAGCTTCTAGGCCAGCGCGGACCCCTTCAATCTGCACCTCATGCTCTCCAGAAGCCGCGTCATCCTCCGACCGTGCACTCTCGCCTGTGCGCCGGAACTTCACCACCCTAGAGGACAGAGCAAATCTGGTCATGATGGCAAATTTCCCCTCATCACAGCCCTGTTCCCAAGGCAGGCAAAAGCTTTTTCTCATGGTCCAGAAAGTTGAAGGGTCAGGGCAGGGGTTGGCATTTCTATGGAGCTTAGAGTGGGAGAGGAGGGCGACAACTTGAAGAATCTCGTGTCACGGCTGCCACAGACAGCTGTGCAGCGTGAGCTCGGCCGGACTCCAGACACGCTGGTCACGTGGCAGGCTGTGTGACTGAGGATAGTTTAGTTTTGGACCCGGTTGCTCTTAGGACGCATGTGTGTTAGAATTTACACTCCTCTGTCTGTTTCTAACAGGGGGGTGTAGTTGATCACCCCGGGGTAACCTGCTGCCCACAGAAAGTGGGTGCCAAAGGTTTAACATTAGATGAATTCACATTAAAAAGTCAGATTCCTGGGGTCCTGCCTGGTGGTACAACAGGTTAGGATGCAGCATTGCAAGCTGGCCACAGCTGCTTTAGTTTGAGTTTGAGCCCTGGCCAGGGAGGTGACCCACATGGTCCAGCAGACCTCTCCTGACCCGCCCGCTGCTCCCCTCATCAGTTGGCATGTTCTGCTCCTCACTCTGTCTCTGGTGAATCCTCTCACTGCCCCTACACCTCTGGCCTGTACCCCAGTTCTGTATGCATAATGAATAAATCTGTTTAAAAAAAAAAAAGCCAGATTCTGATGTCTCTTGCAGAGACTCTCTGGCCATCCGAGGTCCCCGTTCCTTAAAGGGATCAGTATGGTTAGGTCTGCGCTGCCTTAGATGAGACACTCCCTCCATGGTGGCCCAATTTCCTCCCCCTCCAAATCACATTTGGGTTTGAAACCCCACAGATTCCACTCTCAGTGGAAAACAGCACTCGGACCACGCGGACTCTGTTTCTCCGGGAGATGACATGATTTCTCTGAGCAGCAATTTGTTCATCAGAGACTTAGGCAAAATCATCAGCCTCCTTCCAAGAGCCTTGTCCCCAACATAAACTCCTGCTCTAGCAGCCCGTGCTGGGCCTCAGGGTCACGGCCGGGCCAGCACCACGCGTATGTGTTCCTGCTTTCCTGGCCACACAGGAGACACACTGAATGAGCAAACCCACTTCTATCAGGGCTTGGAAAGTCTGGGGGATAATGGTCCGGATTGGCCAAAAGCTACGTGAGCTGCAGGAGGGCAAATCTGGGCGGTGTTTGCAAAGGCAAAAACAGAGAAAGAAGCTTATACCACAAGCTGCTTACATTAACTCCGATTACTCTAACAATGAACCTATGAATTAGATATTGTCACTTACCCCCACTTTGCAATGCGGCAACAATTGCTCAGAGAGGTCAAAGCATTTGTCTGAGATCACAGCTCAGCGGGAGCTGAGGCTTTGGCCTGCGACTCTTCTATATTAGAACCCTGAGCCCTAATTACTGGGCAGCAGTGCCTCCCTCCCAGCACTGACCAGTGCCTGGGAATGACTGTGAGGCCGGAACAGGCGTGTGTAGGTGGGCTGGCCAGCCAATGGAAAATGGCAGGTTCTGGAGCAGGAATCAAAAGGCACGGCTCCTTTCCAGCCTGCCTGGCAACTCTTCAGGTCAGGGTGATGATGCAGGGCGTGTTGAACTAGATGGAGCCTCAGAACCCCACAGGGCTAGCCACAACACTGATGGTTGGGGCCCACACCCCAGAGGGTATGATTCAGAAGGTCTCAGTGGGGGACTGAGATTTTGCATTGTTACTGTGTTCCCGGGTGCTGCTGTGGCTGCTGACTTGGGGACTGGTTTAGTGCATCAGAGGCAAACAAATGATTCCTCCTGGTCAAGAAGCAGTCCCTGGTGGCTATCTGTCTCTATTGGCTGAGCAGGATGCCTGAAGCTCGCCTGCCTCACTCAAGAGGACCAAACCCCCCATCACGCAGGATTTTGACTAATGTCCCTGCGGCCCTTGCAGCTGGAAGGCAGATTTCATTTGGGAGTCAGAGATGCCCATAAGCCAGGAAATCTGGTTGAATTGGGATTTGGAGTTTTACTTAAGCAGCATTTTCCACAAACACCACCATCTTACTCAGAGTATGTATTTATTTGGGGGCAAATGGAGGGAGGCGGCTCTTTAAAGCCAGTGGTGTGCTTAGAAACTGAAATGAAAGCCTCCAAACCATACTGAAATGTAGCCAACAAAGGGGGTAAATACTCCCCCCAATTTCAAGCTATCAACAGTTAAATAATAGGCCTCAAAATTCCTGAATATTTAACAATCAACCTGCTTTCTAGAACTAGTATGAGCAATCACCACACCACTGTAAAAAGTTCTCAAGCCACTAGTACGTTAACACATGAATGGACCTTGAAACATGATGCTCAGTGAAAGAAGCCACTCACCAAAGAAGACATCTATGTGTCCAAAATAGGCAAAGCCATAGAGACAGAAAGCAGACTGGTGGTGGTCAAGGACAGGGGGAGGGAGAAATGGAGAGTAGCTACCTAACAAGTATAGGGTTTCCTTTTGGGAGTGATGAAATGCTCTGGAACTACACAGAGGAGATGATTATACATTATTGTGACTGTGCCCCTATGTTCACAGCAGCCCCAATAGTATTCACAATAGCCCAAAGTGGAACAACCTCAGTGTCTATCCATGTATGAAAGGATAAACAAATATGATCTAGCCATACAATGGAATATTACTCAGCCGTGAAAAAGAAGGGAAATTCTTACGCATGCCACAACATCAATAAAACTTGAAGACATTATGCTAAGTGACACAGACCAATCACAAAAGGATACCTACTATAAAATTCCACTTGTATGAGATACTTAGATTCATAGACACAGAAAGTAGAATGCTGTTTACCAGATGTTGGGGGGAGAGGTGAAGACTGGGGAGTTGAATGAGTAGTTTCCATTGGAAAAAATGACAAATTTAGACATGGATGGTGGTGAATGTACTTATATCAATGTGAATATATTTAATGCCACAGAACAGTACTGCTAACCATGGCAAATTTTATGTTATGTGTACTTTGTCATCCAGTCTTTTTGCCCTGCCACAGATGATACTGGAATCCATTTGTTCATTTATTCAACAAATATTTATTGAGCAACTGGCTTGTGCCATGCCTAAGGATGCTGAGGGATCTCAAAGGGAGGTCAAACAGAGTCTGTTCCTCCTGCAGCTCACCGTCTACCAGTAGGGGGACTCTTGTGGATGTCACTATTTAGCTGCCTCATACAGTGCGAGAAATGCTGTGAGTGAAACCAGGTGCAGGGACAGAGAAAATAGGGGGGTGCTGTTTCAACCACAGCACTCTGAGTAAGGGTGATGTGAAATGGGCTCAAGGCAGGGAACTGGAAAGGAAAAGGACTCCCTGGCTCCCAGAAGTCACCTCCCCCAATTAAAAACATAAACAGTCCCACCAAAGTATTCATAGAAGTTGAAAAGAAAATGATTGCATGATGGCAAAAAAATGAACATATCTGCAATATCAATTCATTTTTGGGATGAAGAGAGGGGCAACAATTGCCCTTAACTATGAGCAAAACAACATGGAAGGAAATGACAGTGGTCTGGTAATCTTCCCTGAATTAAGCTTTTATCACAACCTCTCTTCAACAACCATCCAGGGCTGCATGCCTCCTTGTGTACCTGACAGCAACTACGGCAAACTATTTTGGAAAGTCATCAAGATATAATTCAACATTTTGAATGTTTTGTACTCCAACCCTGAAGCCTCCTGCTGCAATTCATTGTAGGGAGAGATACAAGCAGACAATGATTTACCTGACAAATAACAGGGATCTGGATTGTTAGCAGTGATTGTCTTAATCTTCACTTTCAACTGTCCCCATGTTGCAGAAGTACAGTCAAGTACAACAGGGCTAGGAGTTTTCTCAAGGTCACGCAGTAGAGAAACTTTGGCAAAGTCACCTGCCTTCAGAAACCCCATTCCTAGCCACTCTGCTATATTCTCTTCTGGTGCTGGCATGCTCTTTGCAATTTTGCATAAGATAATACAAAAGTAGGAATAATCATCAGGAAAGAAATAATTAAATAAATGACAGCACATCCATTTAAGAAAAATGTTAAAGAATATATTTTAAAGTTGATCTGTATCTACTAGCCAGAGATAGAATCAATCTAAGCATTTCTCAGTAGATGAAAGGATAAACAAAACATGGTCTATCCACACAGTGGAATACTATGCAGCCTTAAAAAGGAAATAATTTTGGCATATGCTACAACATGGATGAACTTTGAAGACATCATGATAAGTGAAATAAGCCCAGAAAGAAAGGACAAATTTTGCATGATTTGCCTAAGACTGTTTGCTTCTGGGAGGGGAAATCCACAAGCTTTAAAAGAAGTTATAAATATTTTTTACGTTTCCTTTTGGGTCTTTCTGCAATGTTTGCAGCTTTTAACCTGTGCATTTCCATTTTAATAATAAATATAGATAACAATAGCAATTATATGCAGAAGTCTTGTTGATCTTATCACATCTGCCAAACATGTTACACAGGTTCTCATCTGTGAAATGGAGACAACTATAGTTGGCAGGACTGTGAAGATTAGCTGGGATTGATGAACAGGAAAGCTATGGGTACAGAGTAAATATTAGCTTCCCTTCAACTCAAGCCTCACTCAGGCCTGCCTAGAGCAGAGTACATTGACCTTTGTGAAACGAGACTTTGAGGATATGGCTTAGTGCCCTTCAGTTTTTGTTTTTGTTTTTAATAATACAATAATTTATTTTTACATCATTTTGTGCCTTTTTCCATCTCAGTTGTAATCCCCGTGGGTTTCCCATCACCAAATCACCTGTGTGCCATCATCATAGTCCAATGCACTCCCCTTGCCCCATTTTTGATCCCATTCCCCACTCCACCCCTGTAAAATGTCTCTGGTATATAGTTGTTCATTATTATTATTATTATCTCGCCTGGTCCTTTATTCTCCTGCTATGAGTGAAACCATATTTTTCTTTTTCTTTCTGGCTTA